CAAACCCGTTGATATATCGAAGCCTTGAGAAGTTGCCATTGCTATTCCAGGCATCGGGGTGTGTCAACTGGTACTGTATGACGGTCTGAAGGACGATCATATGCGTGCGATTTGGATGTGTAAAAAGATCCTGGACGTCAAGGCATAGTGCTGCGCGATTGGGAATGTCAACAGTCGTATGAAAAGATGGGAGTGATGAGGCGTCTGGACAATCCCTTGTTTGATTAGTTTCAAGGAACGACAAGGTAGTCCCGGCTAATGGCCGCTCGTCATTTTGCGCTGATGCCGGCCAAATAGTCAGGAATAGCAACAGAATCGTGAATACCACCATTGTAAACTAAGGCTGGTGACTTCTTAGAGTTCCTAGATGAATGAAAGGTTTCCCGAGCACATTAACCCATGAAGTTGGTGAAAGCATGAGGTGTTGCTACTATGCTATGTGATTGTCCTAGACCCTGGAGCTCTTCGCCTTTTGTGAACTCAAGATTCCTGGGGTATTGTTCCAAAAGGAAGTCTCTCGATCCTGTTCGTTTGACAGCCTCGATTTGTAGGATCTCAATACGTCATGTCATGCCGAAGGATCAATTTGGCAGCCTAGTTTCAACTAAGCCAACCGCACAGCTTCAGGCGGATCCTAGCAACTGGCCAGTAGAACCCTGCGTCATTGGCTACGGCATAATAATAAGTGAGTAGCCTTGATGGGTAACTCGTAGAGTCAAATACAACTGGTAGCCAGCATTAAGCAGACTGTAGACGCTGACGGAGATGCCCAAAGTTTGGTCTCTTACTAAAGTATTTTTTCAACCCGAGGAGCCGGATGATTTAAATTCGGAAGTCGGATCTCACCACGGCACGACGCGCCTTTCCAGGAGCGACTTAAGAAAACAGCTGGAACAGCAAAATCAAAACTCATGACAAATCATCAATAAAGTATCTTAATAGTCTTCAACATATCCATGGCATATTTTACTACTTCTGTCACAATTAGCGACAGGGGACAATATAAGCGTGGATAAATTCATTTCATAGATTAGTTGCAAAACCCAGCGGTTTTCAATATCGCTCCTGAAAGCTTGCGCTCTCCAAGTGCAACTGGTAAGGGTCTGACCATTGACCAGTTTCCGGATTTATCTCTCGAGAAATTTTGGTGCTTGGAGCAAGGCGTCGGTGTTCTTTGGTAGGCACTATGATGCTAAAACCACTCTGTTTGACGGAATGTCGAAGATACCTAGGTATACCAGCAGCTCATCAAAAGTTGAAGCCGCATGTGAGTCTCCATGAGGCAGAAGAGCACCTCCCTCTGGCGGGTTGGGAATTCGGACCCGATGTCTACTAGCCATGCTGGTGAGGAGAGGGTGCGTTCGTCGGCCACATCGAAGGACACAAGATGCTGGCAGTGGAAGAGGCTAGAAAGAGCTGGGACGATGAGCGAATCGGCCCGAAAGATAACATGAAATGAGGGCACACAGTTGACGCCGAAAAGATGAGATGGGAAGGCTCGTGCGACTTGGTGTGCAGTATTGTTGTTGTTGAAAAAGAACATGTCTATAGACGGTAGATAGGGAGTGAAGGGTGGGTTTAGTTATTGTAGTGCCAATGCCTGCACAATCTTACACTCTAACCTGCAGTGGTATTGCCGCAAGCCACCCAACCTTTAGTGGCTGTAACTGACTGATCTAGGTAGCCCACATGAATCTTGCCCCATTACAACATGCAAAAGATCAGCAATTTCAACGCTACACATTGAAATCCCCAGGAGTATACAAGGCCCACACTACTGTGTACCCTTAGAAATAAAGATTAGTACTTACTATAGTAGCACAATTTAGTATAAGTCTAAATCTGGAGAAATAAACACAAGAAAGACAAAGCGATAGAACATAGCCAGAGGATTTTATAGATCTTTAAATATAGTAGATAGACCATCACAAAGGGTTTCATCATTCTACCTAGGTAGCCCAAAATCGCTCCTCGTCTTAACATATATAAAGAGTTGAAGTTTTCAGCTATTCAAGTGCTTCTCTGAGCTGTCCTAAGCTGGTCTAAGTAGTACCCGAGTAGCGACTAAGTAAAGCGACAACGGGGCTAGATGAGTGACCTGGGCGAGGGAGCGCAACTTTCGGGACACGCAATAAATTTTGAAGGATAGTGTTGAAGACATCCAAAGCCCCAGTAATGCACATCAATTCATTCTGTCTCTTCCCGAAATAATTTTAAGTAACAGATTCTCTTAGCAGCCAGCGTAGATAGCTATATGTCGCTGTTAGCATTGTACTCAAGCCAGGGCTTCAGAGGGTGCAACTAACCATTCGCAAAGAGACTGTATGTATCAGCATGGTTAAGGTTCTGGGCAGCGGTGAGAGAGCGAACGGCATTGTAGCCATAGACACCATAGTCAGAGGTTCCCTTAATCTGAGTCAAGTGAGTCGTCTCGTGGAGAGTGGTCGTGGCTTGGTCCTGCGCATGACAGGTGCGGGTAAGAGCTGTCAAGGCGGTGAAGTACAAGTTGCAGTTAACCATGTAACTTTGAGAAGGCAGGGTATATGCCAGAACGCCACTGCTACAGCTGCTGTAGACGTCAGAGCAATATTGGCGAGAGACACCGGCAGTGGAGCTTCCGCATTCTGAGGCAACTCGTGCAAAGACTGCTGCTACAGTGTTCCTGGTGGTGGTAGTGCTGCTCTTAAAGTACTCCGTCATCTTGGCCGCGGCACCGGACGCGGCAGCTTGAGACGCAGCAGCAGCCAAGCTTCGACAGTTGCTCAGGGCATTGATAGTCGCGGTGCGCTTGGTACCCGTGCAATCTGACTGAACGATTTGTCGCTTAGCTAGATCGTGAAACTCGCGGCGAATCTTTGCCGCAGCGGCACCGTCAACCTCAGCGGTCAACACATTGCTGCTAAAGGGAACTACACCTGCGATCTCGGTGGAGTCCTCCTCAGCATAGGAAACAGCACCCTTAGCCACGACATCAAAGGCACCTCCAGCGCTGAGATCATGAACAGCGGCGATGTCCCATTCGACCTCGACTATTTCACCAGCAGCGATCGTTTGGAAAGCATCCTCTGTCAGGCCAGCAGTGGACACAGTCAAGCGCAGACCGTCGAATTCGACCTTCTCGGCTACTAGGCTTAGCGTTCTATTAACAAGGAAACCGGATCAGGGCTCACCTCCAGAGAAAACATCAACTTTCTCAACAGCCGCCTCGTCCAAAAACGAGCCAGTCTTAAAGATTTTCAAGTTGGTAGAGCCGGTATTAGTTACAGTAGCTTTGACCGCGGAGTTGCCTATCATCTCCAGTTTGATATCCAATGGAGAGGCGCGCTTCTCAAGATCAAGAGAGACGGCTCGCGCAAGGGCGACCAGAAAGGGGAGACCGGCGAGGACCTTCATTGTCGATAGGATGATGTTAATGCCACAAATGATGCGAATAAACTGAAGATCTATGGACTGTCTTTGTGATGAACTGAGAGACCACAAGTCAGGGCGTCGCCGTGATCACATTATATATCCGAGCAAGAGAAACGATGACTTGAGTTGACTAGCAAATAAAATATCAATCCGAGCACGAGAGAGGCTACGCTAGGCGCGATAAGGAAGACAGAAGAGATGCAGGTGATTTTGAGCATGCAGTGTGGTCTCCAATGTACACCAGCGCGGGGATACAGGACGAAGATGGAATGTGAGAAGGGAATGATGTCGCAACGGAAATCCGGCGGCTATAATGTCGCGCTCGATGGAGTGCAGGAGCTTCGAGAAGAGTTCATTGATTTCTAGACCAGACTGTCTCGTTGTGTATCTGACAAGGGGAGGAGACGGGAGAAACAGTAAGTTACCTACTACAACAACATACCCATAGTATTTCTGGAGTAAAGTGAGTCGTGTACAATAAATATTATCATTCTTCCATGAGCGAATAGCTGGATTGTGCCCAGCTGTATCTGTGGCTTCGCGTTTTTCGGTATCGAATCCTAGTTTGAGGCGGGAAACGCAATGGGGATCGGAACCGGAACCAGGATAGCAATGATAACAATATATTGATTGCAGTATCCATGATGCGGCAGGCTCCTCTACCAGTCAGAAGTTACATTGAAGTTTGATTTCATCTAAGCCAAGGCCTTGGCATAGTGCTATATACCGAATCGCTTTCATTAGAAGCCCTTTACTTTTGATAGCGAAGTCTTCGCCGTCTCGGGAAGGAGATAGAATGCATTCGATGGAAGTAACGAGAATGCTCTTTTCGTGTGATGTTTTATATGTAAAGATCCTTTTGTTATCATTGATTTACGCTTGATCTGATAGCTGCACGTAAAGACTCATACAGAGTACGTTATTAGGCTGTCATGCTTCTGCTGGATATCAGGTATAAACATCGCGAATTACAGGTTCAGAGTAGTTTTACAACTGAAATCGGCCTTCATACACCAGGATATTTACTTAGATAGCAGACTTATCAGGTGAGAAGGAGGGGAGCAGGGTTCTCTAGCTAACCAGGCCTGTAGATTATTAGGGCGCGGGAGCTCAGGTGCAGGGCAACTGTAACCAGGAAAGGAACACGACCTCCGGCTTGGCGTACCATATTCATTGATTCTGAACGATCAAGAAATCTCGTACACAACTAAACATGAGGTGATGCCAGGACCAGGCACCCCGAGTCTAAAATCCCATGTTCAAGTGCTCCGACTGCCGATAATCACCTTCCTTGTTCATCTACCGGGCTCCGGGAAACGTCCGGGCACCATGATTGACTGGGGAGCCGCAACACCTTATTGCGACCTCAGGCTCGAGATGCAAGGACCTAATGCAGACATCTCTCGTAATTGTTGGCGCGAGAACGCATGGGCGTGGCGAGGTTGTCCAACGAGCGTCCTCGCCATGTTTGACGAAACACCAGCCTCTTGGCGCCGAGACCAGTTGGAATCTGGCCTTCCAGCCTTGGTGTGGCGATGTTGCAGTGGGCTGGGCTTCGGCATTAGCCAAATCTTGGCCCATCATGCGGCACTTTTACCGGTCACCCCAGATCTTATCGATGTGTGTCAGACAGATTAAGTAGGCGAGCCTGGCACGGCACCGGGATCCGAGGACATGGGAAATGTCAAATGAGCGCACAGATCTCGGATGCAAGGAGGTGTCAAAGGCGCTTTGCATGCCTGTTCGGCACAAGTTGGGCATGCAAGTGATCGTCGTTCGAGTAGAGTTCCTGAGTCTAGCAAAGAACTCGGTCACTTCCCAAAGAGGAAGTTCGCGATGCGTAGCGTTGTATTCAAAGTCCAGGCACAGTAATCGTGTCGCCCCAGACTTGGCGGCCGCTGATGGATGCGTTGAATGTCCGACAAGGCAAATGGGATGATAGATTCTTCCCAAGTCTCGGAATAACCTCGATCTATGACTATTATGGCAAACGTTGCGATAGCTGTTGGCCTGTTTACCCTTTGATAACCTTCCTGTAAACGAACTCTGGCTCTATACGTTGATTTAGCTGATTAATCAATTGAGTTGGACCCGATCTCAATAGCAGCTAAAATCATTTGCTGATTACGGTACAACATCATAAGCTCCATACATGACAAGCCGGCGTTCATTCATCAACTTTCGTGTCGCTGTGAGCGTCCTCCTCCTCTCAAGCCTTGCTGTCTATTTGTATTGCAGCCGAGAAACCCTTGACGCGTTCGGAATGGCAGACGATGACGACACCACGCTTCTTTCCAAGCTCGTGGTATCAGTGCGCCAGACAGAAAGATCCCCGCTCACCTTTGCCCTCAAGGTGACCAATACAGGATCTGATCCTGTCACCATTTTGACCTGGGAGTCTCCGCTGGATGGTCTGGCCTTGCAACTTGGGCTTCTCTCCATCACTCCGTCTGGAGCCCCATCGCCACTTGATCTTCCCACAATCCAAGTCCGACGCAAGACGCCACCAGATGAGGACCAACTTGTGACACTTGATACAGGCGAAAGTAGGGAGCGAGAGATCGTCATCAAGGAGCCAGTGGTTCCTATCAGCGACCTCGCTGGTGACAACAAAGGCAAAGGTACAATCAAGTGCCGTGGCAGATGGATGAGCGTGTGGCCAGTTAAGCGGGATGGTGTGACGGATAAAGCGCTTGAGCTTCAGGGGCTGGGCGACGAGGCATTGACCGGGCAGTTCGAGTCCGATAGCGTTGAATTTGAAGTGTAGATGAGGACAATCCTCGGGGTACGCATGGAATTGTAACCATGCCAATCGATAGCTGATCGCGTCCATTGTAAAACCTGTGTAGATAATTTACTTCTTTTGTGTGCCAGATCTCAAAAAGTCGCATCCCCATCTCTTCTCGGGTTGGTCCGCGGTGTCTGCTTCATGATCATGTCGGCCAGCGGAGGCGCGCCTAAGCTGTCGGGATCTGGTGCTGGCACACCGCACTGGACCGAGATACTCCGCCACGAGCCGCCGACGGCGCGATCTTCGGGTATGAAGACGACGGTGTTGACATACGACCGGCATGCTGGCTCTGCGAAGAGTCTGGCCTCACAGCCGTCCGCCTTATTCGCGACAAAGTTGCCACACCCAGCTACACCTGGCAGGTTATAGCATTGGGCCTGTGTTGTCAGCCCTAGACCCTGAGGAGGAGGTAGATTAATGGCTGCCATGGGACTGCCGCGACACTTCTTGGGCCCGGGCACGCCGCCGAAGATAGTGGCCACGATTGGGAGGTTAGTCTCGGTATCATTGTTGGATGGGCTTTCGTTGATAGAGACCTGGCCAGTGTCCTCTTGAATCTGCCCTTGGGGAAGAGGCGTCGACTCTGCTTGTGAGGCAAGGTAGACAGCCCCAAAGGCAAAAGAGAGGATCAACCGTAACCTCGAATGCATGGTGAGATTCCAGTATGGTGAGTAAGATGATATTAGTCCCAGGACTCTATCTTCGTGATGCAGCATAAAACCGCAAATGTGAAGTAATGCGATGGAGAGCAAAAGGAAGGCAGAACGGCGGGACTGGTCTTTCGTGAGGTTTACATGCTGGTTTCGGGTTTGCCATGGCCAAGCTCTGCCAAGCGTTTCGCAAGAAGAACTCGAGACAACTTCGGGGTGCAGGGACCCCGTCCGGTATGCACCCGGGGACCCACCTCTGCTGCCGGGGCCGTCGTCCGTCGTGATACGGCAGCACTTGCACCGATACTTGGCCGGCTGCCAGATCGCACTTCATCGCGACTGTCTCACGGAAAAAAAACATCTTCACGGCCTTAAGCACTTCTTCGTCCGGGCTATAGACGGCGTCTAATGCCACCAACAAGAACTCGTGAGAGAGCCACCATTTCCCGTTGCAGCCAGGCGCACAACCAAGCGTAGCCGCAAGTTCACAAGTTCTTAAGTCCATGATTCGGGGTAAGAATGGAGCAGTCGATTATGATCCCGTTCACCAATTTTCTGCATGCTTCAGGTTGACTAACCCAAGACATTCAAGTTTGAAACAGCCGGATAGCGCCGGCTCACTCTAGTTTTGGCGACAGGTGCCGCTGTCGAATTGACCGAACGAACCCCACATCGCCCACCAACGACCTAACAGGGTAGCTTCAACCCCTGTACGCGCTATGTCATCAGCGGCAGTCACCGAGCTGGACGAGAGCTTACCCGCTCATCACGGAATGCCATGCTGCTTATCTCGGTCTCGGACTTGGTCAATTGGCAAATGCTCACCATAGCATTGCATTTCACCGTCCAGAATTCAGGTCAACAAAGGAGCCAAGATGCTGTCTAGGGTCTTCTTGTGCCTCGTCGCGGGCCTCGTATTGGCCAATGGCTCCGTCCTAGAACATCAACGGCCGATTGCGGTGACCGACGTTGATAATGACATTGATGCCGACGCTGCGCCGTCTTACCGCGCAGACCTCCTTGCCCTGCACAAGGCACTAGTCGAGATTCCTTCCGTCACCGGCAACGAGGCCGCCGTGGCGGAGTATCTAGTGGACTATTTCACTTACCACGACTGGAGCGCCAAGCTTGAGGCTGTCCCCGGCAAGAGCGACAAGACCGGAGCCGACCGCTTCAATGTGCTAGCATGGCCGCCTTCAGAGAAGGACTCGAAGCCCAAGGTTCTCGTCACGTCTCATATCGATGTTGTGCCGCCACATATCCCGTACTCCATCTCTGACGAGAAGCCCACCAGAGCCACGGTTATCAAAGGGCGCGGCAGCGTGGATGCCAAGGGCAGCGTTGCCGCCCAGATCACAGCGGTAGAGGAGCTGCTCAGTTCCGAGGACATCGAGCCCGAGGAGCTTATGCTGCTCTTCGTTGTTGACGAAGAAAAGGGCGGTGCCGGCATGCGATATTTCTCTGACACCCTTCAGAGACTCGACCCGCCGCGATCCTTTGAAGCAGTCATCTTCGGGGAGCCCACCGAGCTCAAGCTGGCTTGTGGACACAAAGGTGGTCTGGTGTGTTTTGCCGAAGCTCACGGCAAGGCGGGACACTCCGGCTACCCGTGGCTGGGTAAAAGCGCTACGGAGCTTCTTATGCGAGGTCTGGTCCGCATCCTGGATACGGATTTGGGAAGCAGTGAGGACTGGGGCAACAGCACTATTAATGTTGGCCTTATCGAGGGTGGCGTTGCTGGAAATGTGATCCCCGAGCGGGCGACTGCCACACTAATGGGTAGAATAGCCCTCACGGCTGAGCAGGGTGGCCATGAGGCCATCGTCAAGAAGATGGAGGAGGTGATCAAGTCCGTGGACGACGAAGACCTGATCTTGGACTGTCCCGCTGGAAGCCCGGTGGTCAAATGTGATTGTGATGTCGGTGGTAAGCCTCTCGTCGCGTTCTTTAGATGTATCTCATACCGGTGGCAAATGCTAACACTTGGCCTTGCTCTAGGCTTTGAGACCATCGTGGCCAATTACGGGACAGATATACCTAACTTGAAGGGTAACCATACGCGGTATTTATACGGACCGGGCACGATCCTAGTCGCGCACTCTGACCATGAGGCTTTGACAGTGGGTGACCTTGAAGACGCAGTGGAAGGATTCAAGAAGCTCATCACCCATGCACTCAAGGGGTAAGATCCAACAAAGTTAGACCCTATGTACATCTATTGCATCTAAGTTCATATATCATACGTAACGGGGCTCCCCGTCCTAATACATCGCCATAACTCAACCTAGCAACTCACCGTTTTTCTACAATGCTTGCCCATCGCTCCGGCATGACCTCACGGAAATTGAACTTGCCATCAGCTCCCTTTACTACAGCGCCCTTTTCCGTCACGATAGCGTCGATCAACTCTGCCGGAGTGGCATCGAATGCCGGGTTCCAAACCCCTATCCTTTGGTCTGCAATGGCAACTCTAGCAGTCTTTGACACGTCGATCGTGCCGTCGGCGCCGACTACGGCACCGCTGATCTGCGTGAGTTCCTCTTTCTTGCGTTCCTCAATCTTGATGCCGGCGCCCGTTTCGGTCTCTAAGTCAATGCTCGTTGTCGGCGCAGCCACGACAAACTTGACGCCATGATGGCGGGCCAGGACGGCAAGGGAGTATGTTCCGATCTTATTCGCAGTGTCGCCGTTCCGTACCACGCGATCAGCACCGACGATGACAGCACCAATGTTCATCTTCTCTTTCTGGAGAGCAAAGAGCGCGCCGGCCATGGAGTCGGTGATAAGTGTGGAAGGTATGCCTTCAAAGACCAGCTCGAACGAGGTCAGTCTGCTGCCCTGGTTGTAGGGGCGTGTCTCGGTGCAGAAGGCGTGCTTTAGTAGCTTCTTGGCGTAGAGAGAACGTATGATTCCAAGGGCTGTGCCGTGGCCACTGGTTGCGAGACTGCCGGTGTTGCAGTGTGTGAGGACGGAGATTTGGCTGTCGGGACTGGCGGAGTGTTGCGCCCGAAGCCATTCCGCACCGAAGTCGCCAATGGCAACGTTGGTGGACAGGTCCCTGGCCAGGATCGCCTCAGCGGTGTCGATGAATGTTTCAATTATGGCGGCTTGTGGCGAAGGCGTGGGGAGTTCGCTGGTGGTTTCCGTCGGCGGGGCGCGAATGGCAGCTTTGAGATGGGAGATGGCATTACTCAAGTCCACGGCAGTCGGCCGGCTTTCTTTGAGGTAATCGAGACGAGAGTCGACATAGGTAATCGCCTCGTTGGCGCTGTCTGCTTCTAGCCATAGGTGTCAGCTTTGTGATCAAGTCGAGTGCGAGAGGGTCTTGCAAGGTAGAGTGTGGTGTACTTACTGCATGCGCCGTGAAAGAGTTCGACGGCTAGAGCAAGACTAGCGACAATGGCAATGGCGGGTGCTCCTAGAGTTGTTTTAGCAATGCAATCACCTGGCGTGCATATCATAGGGGGCAGCCATACCTCTGACTCTCATAGTCTTGATGCAGTCAAATGCCTCTTCCGCAGTTGAGACGACATCGTAGTGGTGCTCGTGCGGTAGTCGCAACTGATCCAGCACTTCCAGCCGACCCCGCGAATAGCGGATGGCCTGAAGACCTGACATGCTGGTGGGAGTCAAACCAAGATGAAGAGAAGAGAAGTCAGGAGAGAAAGAAGAAGGCTGAAGAGAATTGCGATGCGTAGATGACACAACACGAAAGGAAGACTCAAAGGAACAACGGGAGGTTCACCATGCTTATGTCTTACCTCCATATCGAAAAAAAAGACACCCCAAAAATTCTGCCATGACATAACCCCGCGATGGCGCTATTCGCAGTCCTTCCAGGCCAATTGTTCCACCGCGTGTGCCTTCACCGCCTAATCAGAATAATCATCAGAAAGCTTACAGTGTGGGACCGGCAGTGCGGGTGTGTGTTAGTCCAGCTTCAGGGCCATACAACGGCGGCGGGTAGCTTCAGTCTTTGTTACAAGTAGCTGCTACAGATTGAACGGCCTCTTCTCATTGCCCATAATTCTCAAGCCATAGTCAACCTCACTATGAACGGCCAACAAGATTTCTTGCATGATTGCGTGTGGTTTTCAATCTGGTCTATTGCGACTTAATTGGCTTGTCTCTAGAAGGCGAGTCCAAAGTACAAAGCTGACAAGTATAACACTTGTAGCCCAATCCTGGAATAGGTATTTTGCAATGTATGATACAATCATCAGCGGTCCGCTTCAAGCCACAATTGTAGATTGCATGTGTTTGAAGATAGCGTCGTCTTAGTGATCGGCTTTCATTATTTCTTACAGACTGATTCATGCGTCTATATCGTCGAGCCTGGGAAGCGAAACACTGTGAAGTAATCGGTCAAAGCATCAGTGGAGCCGTGAACATCATAAGACATTCGATTTGTATCTGATCAATTATAACAGAAAGGTGAGTGAATGCCAACTAAAACAGGGCTAGGCGATACTCATGAATTGTTTGTTGCTGTGCCCTACACCAGGCATTGGAAGCGGGAGGCAAATAGGCAGCTCAGGTAGGATATAGCTCGAAAAGGTAATTTTGTACGATCTAGAGCGCGCAGCTTGTCGTGGAAAAATACTCTAACAAGTAAGACTTTCCCAGCTATGTCGAGGAATTCGATAAGCAAGGAGTAATTAGCAGAGCAGTGTCGGGTCTAGCGCATTCAGGGTCCTGGTACTTGACACCAGCGTATTCAATAGTATTTGAGTTGATGACGCTCAAGAAAATGACCAGGGTTCATATCCGATCCTAGCAGCTAGAACAATGGCTAGAAGGTGTAGCAGTCTTCTAATACATGACCTCGGAACTCGATGCATTAGTTTGGAGATAACAATCCCGGAAAGCCGGCAGCTTCACGTTGGCAACAAGTGAGTACATATAGACCAGCAGTGTCATGCCTGGGAGTGCTGGCTGAGTGCCTCGAGAAATCAAAATCTTGGGGAAATACATCTTGCATACTGAAACCATTCCGGGCTCTATTGACGGAGATAGCAATTCTTCAAGCCATCTCGGTTGCCACCGCCATAGGTGCTCACCGTAATGGCGCTCTGCGACTTACTGCTCGAGCAGATGGGACAGACAATGAAGGGACAAACGGTCCGAATGGCTGGGGAACTTTTGACCAACTACTTGACCATTCGAACCCACAACTAGGTACATTCAAGCAACGCTACTGGTATGGAACTCAATTTTGACAAGGTCCAGGCTCACCCATCTTTTTCTCCACCCCCGGCGAGGATGCAGCTGAGAGCTACAATACTTCCTTTTCCACCACGCAGGGTCTTCAGGGACTGTTCGCTTATGAAACCGGTGGTGCCATCGTCGCCTTGCAACATAGGTACTGGGGTGAAAGTTGCCCATTTGATACGCTGACAGTGGAAAATTTGCAGTATCTGACACTGGAAAATGCAATCAAAGACTTGACATATTTTGCAAACAACTGGGTGCCACCCTTCGACATGAACGGCACCAGCTCACCCAAAAAGGCTCCCTGGATCATGAATGGCGCTTCCTATGCGGGTGCACTTGCCGTCTATACTGCCAAAAAAAAGCCCCTGGCACATTCTGGGGTTATGTTGGCTCCAGTGCAACTGTAGAGACTATCAGCAACTTTTACGAATACTTCATTCCCACCCTAGAGGCAATGCCAAAGAACTGCAGTGCAGATATTAACGCAGTTATCAACTACGTCGACAACACTCTGTTGCATGGCGCAAGGAAGGAGAAGCAAACACTAAAAGATAAGTTCATGCTAGGTAACCTCGAGGATGCGGACTTTGCGGGGTGAGTACAAGCAACTCAAGCGTGAAAAGTTTTATGCTCTATTACAAACACTTACATGGCTGCTTGATGATTATAGAGCACTTGAGAATGGACCGTGGACTTGGCAAGCAAATCAATTCAACTCCTTCCAGACTGGCGGCAAGTCGAATTATGCATTTTGCGACTACATTGAGGTAGGTCGACGTTGCCAGGTCAAAATACGCCAGGCTATTGTAAGAATGAAGCTGATGTTCTAATGCCCTAGAACAGGGCGTATGGCCAAACTCAACTAACGAGATACCTGGTGCAGAGGGCGTTGGTCTTGTCAAAGCTCTTGAAAATTACGCCAAACACTTTAAGGAAATAGATTTGCCATACTGTAAGTCAATCAATTTTGTCGCCTACTTCTACTCATCTTAGTCTATAGGAAACATTGATACCTAACGACCATGCGACCATTCACAGCATATGAGAGATACGGATATAGCGAATTTCAAGGAGAGAACAATACACTATGCTACCAGGCTCTGAACGTCTTCAATCCGATATACTCGGATGTTAGGGTAGACAGCCTATATAACAGACAGTGGATGTGGATGCTGTGTAACGAACCGTAGGTCCTCACGAACACTCTCATAGATGAGGGCGTCGTATCAAGGATGTAAGCGTGCTAACGGGACCCCATTTCTAAACTCGAATTCTGGCAGACAGGTGCTCCTCCTGTCCAAATCATATCAGTCACCCGCCTAGTCAGCGCCGAATACGGCCGAAAACAGTGCGGCCTCTTCTTCAAGGATCACTTTGGTCTCTCTGAGGGCAAGACAGCTGCATCAGTTGACAAATATACCGGTAGTTGGGAAACACCCAAGGTCAAGCGGATGATGCTGGTTAACGGCCAATATGACCCGTGGCGCTTTGCTACCGTTGCCTCGGACTTTCGTCCGGGCAGTCCACTACAAAGCGCAGCAGAAGTACCGACGTTTGTTGTTCCAGGCGGCTTCCACGGTTCAGACCATAGTGGTGCGAACTGGGCGGTGAATCCCGAACTACAAGCTATAGTGAATCAGGAGGTGGCGATCGTGAAGAAATGGGTGGCCGAGTTCAACAAGGGATGCAGACGCAGAGTGAAGAGAACAATAGGCCGCATTTCTCTCAGCATCTAAGGTCTCTTTGCCCCAGCCGCGGTATCACGGATTTGCTAGCTTGATGTTGCCTCATAAGCGTAAAACAGCAAAGTATACGAGGTCAACGGTCGCTGCGAAGGTAGAATCGCCGTTAGACTCCTCTATAATAAGGAGATACTACAGCCAAATCATGTTCCCAATTCAGCTGGATAGTCACTGTGAACAATGTGTGGAGCGACTTGCTTTTGAAGAAGCTGCTAACATGTGCCGAGCCGTGAAGTTTGTGAGGGTAGAGCCATCATGCTCTTGAATGCTCTCGTCTTGAACTGTCACTTAAAGGTTGTGTTGAACTGCTGTATTGATATCGAGGTTCCCAAAGTTGAAAACACCTGGGCAGCTCTTGCGGTCTACGGGGGGTACTTAGGTAATTACCTAAATCAGGTGGGACCCCGTTGCGCTAACGGGCACCAACATAGATGCCCGTTGTATGGTACGTATTCTGGCTAGTGTATGTACTGTACCTGCACATGGATATCTGTACTTACGGTAGACTGCACCTTAAATTGGAAACTCCCACATCGCTGGTTCTCTGCCTTTGACCACGGGATGGGTAGATGACAGCCCATTGTGACCACAATCACTATGGAACGGCCGTTCTCGACGTCCAAAGTCACAGGTATGTCGGCGCTCATATTGCTAATCGAATTGTGTGCAAGTCAGCGGTCTTGACAAGCCCTCGCTAATCATCTTCTGCGACACGACAGTCGAGTACTTTGATCCTCACGACGTCTACAAGCTCCTCGCGCCAGGGCTGGTTCCTCGGCTCCCTTTGCGAGATCTTCACTGGCAGTCTCATGCCGGGCCTCTTCGATCCATCCAGACTCTTCATGTGGAGCTCGTAGCGGCCGGGTCTGGATCTGACGCCTCTCGCGCCGCCGCATCCCCGGTTATCTCCCCAAAACCACACGGAAGCATCGCAGATACTACGACAAGCACCGATGATGGCTTCACGACACAGGCGCTGGGTGGTCGTACCGGATCTATCGAGAATATCGACGCCGTAACACTACCATCTGGTGCTGTCCGCCCTGGGCAGGCGCCCGCTCGACGACACCAGATTCCTGGCCTGCGACGGACGCCGTACCTCAAAGTGCTCCTCGTTCGGTGCGACGACAATGACACCTACAAGTCCACTACGCGCGACGAGATCCGCAAGTGGATCAAGGAGAATACCCCCCCTGCGCAGTCCACCAAGAAGGATCGAAATACGGCCGAAAATCACGATGCATTCGAGTGGCTCATCATCCACGTCGTAATACCCAATACCGTCGCCTCAACCCAGCCGCGGACTACCGGCGCGAGCAGCAGTAAAGGGCCAGATGGATCCTCGGACTCGCTTCCAACGACTAAGAGCACTACCAGGCGATGGGGAGGCGGATCATCTACGCTCCTAGAGAAATTGCGGTCAGACTTTAATGGGACCAGTAAGAGTGCAGTAGATCGCGTCGCCCAGATTCGAATCGGCATCAATGATGTGCCTTATGATCTCCTTCCGAGAGTCGTCCCTGCTGTTCCAAGCGGATACACTGAAACCGAGGCGGAGGCCGATGCAGCCTGGGTCGACTTGATTGCCAAGTTCAAAGGCCTCATTCTCTCGAGCTTCGACATGAGAGTAGGCCAGTACGAGGATGACATTAAGGAGAAGGATGCCCAGCGGAGCCTTCCCGGTTGGAATTTTTGCACTTTCTTTATTCTTAAGGAAGGGCTGGCTCGCGGGTTTGAAAGTGTCGGCTTGGTTGATGATGCCCTCGTGGGGTATGACCAGCTGAGCGTGGGTCTCGATACTATCATTCAGGAACAAGCCGGATCCGACTCCGCGGAAGCTCATGGTGGCTCGTTGTTGGACTTTACTGACGAGCTCAAGAAGGCTGCTCAGAGGTGCTTAGCAGCTGCCACGAATGGTACTCTAGAATTTGAAGGAGAGGACGAGCCGGTGAACTTGCAATCAAAGGACGGCGCATCACTGGAAAGTTTTGACGACATTCCGATATCAGCATCCAAGAAGCCTTATCGTGATTTGATCCTTGCGAACAATGTTTCTGTATTCGATTTCAGATGCTACATCTTTGCGCGCCAGATCTCTTTGCTTCTCCGGCTAGGAAATGCCTGGTCAACTCGAGATGAGCTGCTGACAAAGCTCAAAGAGCAGCAAGAATCTGTCTTACACGGCGTGGCCCCCAGAGCACCGCCCCCAAAGCCATCTGATGAGCCTGAAGATTTGTCTATGTTAGCGGAAATATGCAGGAGAACTCTGGAGTTCATCCCTTCTGTATCCCATGTCATGAGAAAGGACATCACCTCGGCTTTGACGGAACCAGATAAGAGAGCCGGAGATGAGGATCCCGTAAAGTCATTGCTTTTGGACCCATCCATGGCAGAGGTTGTCGACAATATGGTTGCATCCTTCGCTTTCTCCATCGCGCAACAGATCCTCGCACAAACTTCCACAAAAGCTTTGCCAATACCGCCGTCGACAATCGCTACACCTGATGGCTCGGAGCCAAAGTCATCGATACCGGAGCCGAAAACCATGATGCACCCGGCAAGGACTACATCACTCCATGCCCGCCCCGGGGAACGACCCCGGCCTCCTCCAAGTCCCGGTATCTTTCCTGGACCACGACGAAGAGCGAGTGTTCCCGAGCTTGACGCGGTCCAACAACAATTTCTCAAAGTCGGGCTCGAAGAACTAGCAGCACGACGTGCAGAGTTGTACGCCTTGTCTCGCAATATTCTGGAAGAGAGGGGCAAGAGACGCGGTTGGACTGATGGTTGGGCATCCGCACCAGTTATTAGTGATTCCGAATTGGGTTCATTTGCAGACGTTAAACTTGACGATGTCAAGACTTCGGATAGTCAAGGAAAACCTGCCGAAGTCCCATCTCTCTCACACCATTCTATATCGGGGCTTGAGAACAAGCTTCTCCGAACAGCCCTAGACAACAGAGAGGACTTTTATCGCCTCTACGAAACTCTGACAGATAAGGCTTTACGCCATTATACGGTCGCCAACCATACACATTCAGTTCAGACGAATATGGCAGACCTAGCTGTCCTCAAGTTCCACCTTGAGGATTATGCGGCCGCGGCGTCCTATTTCTACCGCAGTGTAAGGCCATACCCTGAATCTTGAAGACGTGACGAGCTAACTTCATCTTAGACCCCCTTCTTCGGTGAAAGCGGTTGGAGCATTCTGGAGCTATCAATGCTTGTAATGTACGCCAAATGTCTTCATGAGCTGCAGCGAAGGGATGAGTATGCCCGGGTGGTGTTGAAACTTTTGTCCAAAGCTGCCGCCTCTGAGAAGGACAAATTGAGCCACCGAAAAGCCTTCCATTCTGTCCTCAAACCGGAGACAGAATATCCTAGGATGGCAGCAATCCAAGGCTTCGTGGCGGACTTGCTATCCAGCTCAACCGCAGTCACAACGGGGATCAAAGCTCCTCTGCAAAACTTTTTCGCGGCTTTGGAGATCGAAGGAGTTCCTGTCTACAAGGATCGACAAGACTCCTTTTCCTTGAGTCTCAAGCTTCGGAGTCTCCTTGTGGACGATATGCCGATTGACAAAGTGACGATGCGAATGACAGCGCCAGGATCTTCAAGTTCAAAAGAGATCTGGCTGGCAACCAACAACCCTACAACACTGAAGCCTGGAGTGAACAGAATCGAGCTTCACTGTAACGATGTTATTCCGGGCATTTATGAGGTCGATCAGATCCATCTCGCGAGCAGCAACATGAGCCTGCATTATGAGCGAGATTTGCGATCATCAGACGACCGCTCGGGCGGTCTGAAAAACCCTCGGATCAGACTGTTTCAAAGAACGAGATCCTTCGACATCCGTCTCAGCGCTTCAAAAGACATTCAGCTTGATCAAAACAACTGTCTCGACATACAGTTGTTCACGGGATGGAATGACGTGACAAGTTGTGAGCTTCGAATTCGAGCTGCTACGGCGGGCTTGCGTCTCTTGACTAGCGAAACCAAGTTTTTGAACTCGGAGTCACAGCTCTCCAAACCTGCTGAAGGGGGCGTGTTTTTCTTCTCCTCACTCCCACCGGATACAACAATTAACATTAGGTGTCCCTTCACAATCGAGCACGACATGTCTAATGTCTCAATCAAAATTGAAGCAACATACACCACATCAAATGGATCATATACCTTCTCTAAAATGCCTTCGATACCGACGGGCCTAGCACTCGGTGTCAATGTACAAGATGTTTTCAAGCATCATGCTCTGTTCTCTAGATTTTCAGTCTCAACTTCATCCCCGAGTCCTTTAAGGTTACTCAATAGCGAATTACTGGAATCCGACTTATTTGAATCGAGTTTCGGAATCCCACCAACACAACCTGTTGTGATATTCCCCAAGCAACCGGCGAGTCTACTATATAAGATCATTCGAAAAGAGGGTGTATACGTGGATTCCCAAACGAAGAAGACCATGTACCTGAAACTTCAATATACCCGTTTCCAAGACGAGATTGAGGCTTTGATCAAAGTCTCACTCGATAAATCTTTAAATGGTACCGCCCTTGAGACATTCGCTGGTCTCGTGGTACCCGAGATTGTCTCGCATGTTCAGAATTCTATTACGGGTTACGATCTTGAAAGAGCTGCTCTCCTGGGCGAGATGAATACATCCTTCCTCTCCCAGATAAAGTGGGAGCGTCTTTTCTTCGGCATTGGGCAGACCTCGGAGGGTAGAGATGCAGCATCAGCTCTAGCGAGTTTCATTGTTAACTGGGTGAAGCAAAACCCTAAGCTTACTCTGGGACAAACTCGTCCTGTTGACGAAGAGCTCCGGTCCATCGTCATACCTGTCGACATACCCTCCATTACCATTGTGCATACGGCCGATCTTCGTCTCCAACAGCCAGTATCGTCCCCTATTTCTTCCCTTGATGATATAGGGGACGGGGCTGGAGCTCAGACTGTGTGTATAAATCAGCTCCTCCCTGCAACATTACACCTCAAGTGGACTCGCATATGGGACAGCGAGCATACAGGAGCTGCACATGGCGCTCCTAGTGCTGATGACCTCGAGTTCAGCTACGAAGTCTCCGCGCCAACTGATACATGGCTGCTTGGCGGTCGGCGCAAAGGTCATTTTGTGATCCCCGCTCCGTCCTCCGAAGCCGAGATAAGTTCAACACCGGACACAGAGGCCGATATACCGATATTGCTCGTTCCACTACGTGAAGGATGGCTGCCATATCCAAGCATCGAATTGCGCGAAGTTCGTAACGTAGATATGGATGGTGGAGAAAGTCATGCACACGGGCACTGTGAGACAGATTATCGAAACCTGGGAGAAACGGTGCGGGTTGTGGCTGATAGGAGCCGAGTCACTCTCAGTCTAGATGCCAGTGGGCCAGGTGGTGGGCCCTTGGTCTTAGAAAGTGAGAGAAGGAGCTTTGTTGGCAGAATTGTAGCTTAAACAAGATATAATACGAAAGTCTATTACAAACAACTAAGCATTTCACACTCTTGCACGCCTTATACACTAGATTTATTTTGAGCAAGGAGAGGGCCACGAAGCTGGGACAAGTATCCACTTGACTTCACTCGGTGATCAAACTCGGCGGCACGAACCTGGCAAGCACCGGTGAGTCAAGACTTCCTCATGATGATATGTTAGGGCTTCTAACATCTCATGCGACTATCAACTCCGGCATACTTAGACTTAAGAGCAACTGCCTCACGACCCCGCAACAGCGTTTATTGCCATTTCTATGGCCGAGAATGACCTTTTGCTTGGATTGCTCTATATTGGAAAGGCTAAATCAAGACATGCCCTCACCAAGCCTTGGCCTGATATACACTGGATTTATCCGCGCGATGGTTAATAGGCACAAGACCGCGTCACATTCGGAGGCTTGTCCGCCATTTTGCTAGAATCTATATATAGCCACATCATGTGCGTTAAGTTTTAATAGTCTTTCGTTCTTCAGAATCTTGATCTCCACCACCGCGAAAATGCGCCTACTGTCCGTGCTTGTTGCCAGCGTCTTAGCACCTATCGCTGGATTTGCTGCCCCTTTGACCGGTCATTCTCATGGTGAGGCTATCTATAGAAGAGAGAATTTGTGCAGTTTGAAAGCCCCGCCAGCTCTTTGTCAGCCGAATTCATCCGTTACCGTGGAAGAGACTGCACTGAGAGCCTACAAGTTCTACCGAGCATTTGTGGTCGACGGGGATCCTAGGACTATGTTCTCCTTGATTGACTCAACTTACAAGGTAAATCATTCATTTGCAATCATATACTTTTCCGCCTCATAAGGATAGCTAGCTGACGGGTCAAAAGCAACACCACCAAGGGTATGCCGATGGACCTAACACGATCTGGCCTCTTTTCTGCAATGGCAACAAGATAGGGACCGAGCAAAGCACAGCTTGGTGTTTTGATGCGAGCACCAATATGTCATATGCACGCTACTCTACCACTGACCGATGGCGCTGGGTCGATGGCTGTGTTCACGAACATGTAAGTAAAGAGAGGTCTCACAAAATGGAATGTTCTGACTTGTCTTTCAGTGGGACCAAGGCGAATCTATTCCGACGAACAAATGCTACAAATTAAACACCACCGCCACTACAATTTGACGGGTAACAAGCGTATTGAGGAGTTGAATCGGGGGCTCGCTAAAGGAAGCAATGTTCTCAAACTAAATAGGAGGTAGCAGATAACATAACATCGCCAATGAACCTGAAGTTTCTTCTTGAACTCAATGTTCAAATATCGTCTCTTGTTAGTGTGGTAGACTATGTAGTCGATTATGGATGCTATCTAGATGAAACAACGTCCTTGTTTCTTGTTGATTTGGTAAGAAATAAAAAAAATTGAGAAAATTTGTCCAGAAACGTGATGAGATGCAGGGAACAAACTCGTCGAGATTGAGATCGGGATATAATTGATCAATGTCCGGGCATCCATTCCTCATCCTTCCCCTAGCTATGATAAGGTTGCTTCAACATGCTAGGTTATGCAGATATTTAAGGCCAAGTTCTCAATAGCCCTCACTCTTGAGAAAGAAAGAGAGGCTTACCGGTATTGTCATAGCGAGGTTTGTCGAAGTTCCTGCAAAGTGATGGAGGTGGCGCGAGCGTGCGTGTGGCTGGTCATTTTGATCCCTGACCTTCAACGGCGACCACAGAGTAAGGGCATCCAGGTACCTCCCTTGCCCCATACCTGGGTACATTGAACTCTTTGTCGGTGACGATATATATCTGCATACATATAAATACATATGTATATGAATCGATGAGTCTCCTGAGTCGGAAAATGTTTTGATTATGGCGTCTTAGCCTAACCTATCTTTCGTTGTCTAAACAGTATGCCTTGTAATTGTGCTTGAGGTGGCTGAAAGATGGATGATAGAATTATTTAACGCTCCGGGGCTAAGGTGCGGAAATGGGTAGCGCGGCGACGGTACGGACGGGGCCCGAACTCTGTGCTAACAATTTCGAGAAAGCGGTTGGTCGCCGAAGCCCCAAGCTCGGGCTGGACTGGATTGGACTGTTGCGCCACCGCTTGGAGATCTCTCTCTGTGCAAACACGACACGGGCAGCGATTTGTCTGGGGCTTGATTGCCTGACTGGTTCATTGACTGATCGAATTGTGAAGAAACAAGAAACGAAACAAACCCAGCTTTACGGGACGGGACAGACGACAACGAAACGAAACGCAGACCTCAGACACGTCTCTCGTCAGACACCAGATCCCGTTGTCTCCGTCCGTATACCGTCAAAAACCAGCCTCTACCTTCTCACATACCAACCAGCCTGCCACTACCGATCTCTAGAAACAACTTGATTGCGACCGGTCGTGATACCCAATTCGCAAACTTTCATACACCCCGCAGAGAGACACCGACCGACCGGCAAACACAAGAATAGGTGGACGAGCGATTGAGTGGGAATCGATGCGCGTGACAGAGTAATACACTGCCGGTGTAACGACTCCCGAAAGCACTCCAAGCAGGTCAGGCCAGGCCGTTGCCTCGGCCTTTGACCGTGTCTCGAACCGCAACACACCCATTTCTCGCCAGCGGTAGTACCGTCACATCAGTCGTCGCGCGCACTCTCGGCCTGCACGCTGGAGCTGCTTCGGCACCGCCGGTTGCGGTCGTCGGGTTGAAGTGGAAGAGGAGGCATGCACGCGGCAAAGAGGCAGGCCGAGGCGCTGGGACGGAAGGCCAAGGTGAGTCCAATATCTCTGCGCCGGCGGATGCAAACCACGACACAGCTTGCGCCGCTTGCTTGTTGGGCCCAATGCTGACCAGATTTGCCGTCTATTCTAGCTCGCAAACTCCTACCAAGAGCTTCTCGAGTAAGTCATCCTTCCGAGCTTGCGTCGCCCACACTTCCCCCGGAGCAGAAGTTGACGTTCCCCACAGTGAATTCTCAAATAAGGACCTCAAGTCCGTTGGAAACTACTCGCTTGGTCGACTGATTGGGAAAGGGTCGTTTGGAAAGGTCTACCTGGCTACGCACAAGCTCACAAATGGATCCAAAGTACGTCGCGATCCCGTCACCATCTCCGCCTTACGATACATTTCGTTTGCGCGTGAGAATCCCCTGATGCTGACTCTCTTCTCTCTTAACAGGTGGTTCTCAAGTCTGCCCACAAAGGCGACTCAAATTTGGCTAGGGAAATTCATCATCATCGCCAGTTCGTCCATCCACACATCGCGCGACTTTACGAGGTCATTGTGACGGAGTCAATGGTGTGGCTCGTTCTCGAATATTGTTCAGGTTTGTTGGCCACCAGCAAAGCCAAACTTCCCCAACTTGCACTGATACCCTGTTCTAGGCGACGAGCTCTACAACTATCTCCTCAAACACGGCAAGCTTCCGGTCGACAAGGTTCAAAAGACGTTTACACAGCTCGTGGGCGCCGTGTCCTACGTTCACCTGCAATCCTGCGTGCATCGCGATCTGAAACTTGAGAACATTTTGTTGGACAAGAACGAGAATGTTAAATTGTTGGATTTTGGGTTTGCTCGTGAGTACGAGGGCAAGTCGAACTACCTCCAGACTTTCTGTGGCACGATTTGCTATTCCGCCCCAGAGATGCTCAAAGGAGAGAAATATGCAGGCGAAAAGGTCGACGTGTGGAGTTTGGGGGTGATACTGTACGCTTTGCTCTGTGGAGAACTACCTTTCGACGATGACGATGACAACGTCACACGGACCAAGATCCTTTCAGAAGAGCCGAAATACCCCGAGCATATACCGGCCGATGCATTGTCGCTATTAAAAGGTCTATTGTCGAAGAGACCACTGTTGAGGCCGGGCCTGTCCGATATCCTCGCACATCCTTTTCTAGCTGAGCATGCGCCCGAGCAGCAGGCTATTCTAGCAAAGCAACAGCCTCCGCCCTTCTCCACGCCCCTTGAGAAAGACACCCTCCAGCGTATGCGAAGTGCTGGCGTGGATATCGACTCCGTTATTGAATCTGTCATAGCCCAAAAATGTGACACACTCGCCGGATGGTGGACTCTGCTTATCGAAAAGGAAGAGCGCAAGCAACGGAGACGGGAGCGGAAGCGCAAGGAGAAGGAAGCTGAGCATAGGAGCTCCCGTCGTTTTTCTCAAGCTTCCAGCCGTCTAGAACGGCTGGCACCAGTAGGTGAGGAAGTAGGTTCGTCGAGCCAAGAGCACTTCATCAAACTCGGTGACCCGCCTACACCAAGAGCACGAGGTCGTTCTGAACGGAGGAGCGGTCACTTCCCGGATCTACATGTCACGGATCTGCCGGGTCTTCCAGAGTTCGCCAAGCTGAATGGTGGTCTAAGTCCTGATGGCGAAGTACCACCACCACCGATTGATAAAGATTCTATCAGATCAGCAAGCTCCTCGCGCCATAGGAGACCGGTACCACCCCCGAAGGAAGGCGTTCTCCGAAGTGCCCGATCTAGGGGCTCGACTCTTCACCTCGTTACGACCAGCGATGCGTTAGCAGTTACAATGGCCAGTCAGCAGAATGGCCCCCAACAGAAGGTTCGGAAGAAGCCCTCGCAAGCCATTCTCGCGCACTGGAAGAATTGGACACATTGGATCGTCGAGAACACACGACGAAACAAAAACCCCAACAAACGAGGAAGCCACTCCACGCCGAACTTGCTCGAAAAGGGCGGCAGCGGTGGTAAAGATGACAAGCGGTCGAAGGATAATAATCTCCGACCACATACGAGCAAATATCCCACGACAAATACCGCCCCAACTGTAACCAGTTCGAGCCTACCAAAGAACCTCATCGCCAATGGCTTTGCTCTCAAACACACACCTGCACCAGCTGCAGAGAATACACTCCACAGCCCCATCTCCACGAGCTTATCGACCCCCTCGAATCCTCCGACGCGAAGACCGACCTCCAACTCGTATAAACGTCAATCTCTCTCTCCTTCTCCTCTTACCCCTCGATCTACGATCCGCCGACCATCCGCGGGACTTCGAGGCCGCAAGTCGACCAGCTCGTCTGTTTCCTCCGTACGGTCAATGCACCATCACCACCATTCCCATTCCAAAGCATCATCTACCAGCTCCACGAACTCTGTCTCGACAAACATGTCCAAAACACCACTTCAGACAGGACGTTCGCCACACCATTCCGTCAAAGTCCTTCCTGCTACCCCGACGTCAACAAGTTTCCCGAGTAATATCCGGCTAGTTCGAGGCGCTGGCCCGCCCCTCTCTCTCTTCAACGAAGGCATGCCTGGAGGCCGCGCGGCGAACAATAGTATACAGCCTCCAAGCTCGCCAAACCCTTTCAGCTCCTTCTCGGAACGAGGCGGTCCATCTGTCCTCTTTGCCAAGCGAAAACGGAACATCTTCAAAGGGCCGATGCTCACGTTCGGAGGCGGAAGTAGTGCTAGAAGCACGGGGTCAGGAGGCCATTCACGAAGTGCTAGTGCTAGTGGACTAGGACGACGGTCTGGTGAGATCACTATAGAGGAGGAAGACGAGGATGCTGTTGCGGACGAGGAGGATATGGAAATGGGCCATGAAAGGGATGATGGCGAAGCTGACGATGATGTTGAGGAAGTAGAAGCTTTCAGCCCTCTTGTTCGTGGACCTGGAGAAGAGATAGAGGAGCGAATCTACGAAGAGGGAGAGGACGAGGAGGACCAAGACGCTCATGCCAAAGGAGAGGGCGGTTTTGCCCCTACGACGAGCACGACGGTCAAGGCAGTCACTGCTTCAACTTGATTGCTCCTCGTTCAATGCGCTAGCGTAAGACATACCGATATCTAGCGACCTTAGCGAACGGCGCCCTGCGACTGGAGATGGGATGAAGCATTTTGGCGCTCTATGTTACTTTACGACAAACGATAACGCGAAGAGAGACTTGCCGAGTATGGCATGTCATGAAGATTTTGATTCACCATCGGTTTGCTCGGCAAGCAAATCGCATTGGAGCTGTACTTATATGATACCTCGTTTTATACCAAGGAGTAATCCATTACATAGTAATTGGCACATTGATGTCCAGATCTAGCGGGCCATCCTATAAGCCATGCTGCTGCTCTGTCTAGATGCATTCCGCCTTGGAATAGCTGCTCACCATTTATGGCCGATGTGAAGATTACTGGCTCAAACGCCAACGGAGAGCCATTCCGGTCGCTTGCCGGCCTGAGCCACTCCCAAGTCAAGTAACTGCTGCCCAAAGCCGGAATTGTCTAGCTTGGCTTTGGTGTCGAGCAGCAAGGCTGCTCTGGCCTTCTCAACCTTTCTTACAGTGTTAACGGACACGCACATGGCAGGATCTAATTCATTTAATTCGGGGTCACCCATCGTAGCCAAGGCTGCCAGACCCAGCCAGCCATGATAGATATCCGGCGGCCCGCCAGGATACTTCGAGAAGCCCCCGATAACATGTTGCGTCTTGTCGAGAATGAACTGACGCGCCGGAGCTGGGGTCAAGAGGTCACTGTGGCCGAGGATAGCCAGCGCACCACCAACCCACCAGCAGTAGCACGTGTCGGCCACCTTGTTGCACCTCCCATTGAAGCCCACATATTTGATACTGTCTTCCAGGGACAAGGTTGCCAGGGATTGTTGTGAGAAGTTGGCAGTTTCGGGATCATCAGCATCGTCATCCTCTTGTTCTAGAAAGGCTAACTGCCGCGAGACGAGGAAGCGTATCAAGGCTGGTAGATCCGGAATTCCACGCCGAATTGCTTCACTATCGTGCCGGCCGCCACCGGTCTGGGGACGATCGAGGAGAGACAATGCAGCTACGGCACAATATCCATAACCAGCTAAAAGCAGTATTAGCCAGGAGTTGTGACATGTTGCGACGCGTCGCTGTGGCATAGTGAGTTGCCATGAGAGTTCGGGGAATACACACCATGGCTTTCATGCTGGGAGCCTTCTGCCACTCCTCCATCGTATATCTGACCGCGCCTGATATGGCTCACGAGCGCGTCTACATCGATGTCCTCAACCCATCCGGGGCTCCCTGACTCCAGATCTCCTCTCAGCATCCAGCGAATAGTCGCTGCGAGATAGCAGTATCTCATATCTTTCCCGCCGGCAATCAGTGGATGGCTAGAGCTCCCCTTTTGACCATTATTGCCCTTGGGTAGCTCGACGAGAACCTCGCCGAAGCTCCCATCCTCGCGCTGCATTCGTCGGAGCCAGCGCAATGTTGCCAGGCGATCGACGCCGAGGTAGGCACTATCTGCGGAGTCGTTCTCTGCCAGAAGCGCTAGGATCAAGAGTGCAAAGGATGTGGCAGCTATATTGGCGGCCCCGGGGCGGGCGATGTCTGCCGTGCCGGCCTCAAAGTCATATCCTTCATATTGATACCGGGGTAGGACATGTGTTGGGGAACCGCAGAAACCGCCGGCGGGGTGTTGACAGGCCAGAACCCACTCACGGAGGCGGCGGCGGTCGGATGAGGCAATCAGGGGCTTCGGGGGAGGAGAGTCGGGGGTGGAGAGGATGTCGACGGCGGCGAGGACAAAGAAGCCGAGGGTCATGCGGATGCTGTCATTGCTGGTGTACTGGTGTGGCAGCAGCGTGCGCAGACACCTCTGCCAGTACCGAAAATGGCGGGGCTTGTCGAGAGGAGGGGAGAACCGATCAGACATGTGCTTGTCTGTGTGTTTCTGTGAGTCTCTGTGACTGTGTCTTTGAGAGCTACCTTATGTTGAAGCTATTCCGTAGAGCAAGGCGCTCTTGATTATTTGATATCGACAGCAAGCTGGAGTCGAGAGGCTGATGAAGAAGGCGGGGAGCAAGCATCCTAACGTAAGGTACCGTAACCCCCACATGGGTCAGGCGTGCAAGTCCTCCTGGAGGGCGCTCCATTTACGGTACCGGTACTGGCCTTTCCGTCCCGCCCGCCAGGGGCCTTGGCTCAGGTACTCAGGTACTCAGGTACTCCGGTACCTTACCTAGGTACTCGACCTACCTGCAGGACGATAAGGAATGGCAGCCTTTGGGGCAGGCACGATAAGGGAAAGCCTTGCAGCTTGCAGGGAAGGCACGACCTGACCTAACACGACACGACACACCTCGTGTCTGGCCAGGTTAATTAGTTGCCCTTTGGTTGGCTTAATAAGGCATCCTTCAACCACTGCCACATCCACTACAATCACCAGACGTCACCACCACCACCTACCTCAGGTCCTGTAGGTATACCAAACCTACCTACCTTAGGCGTCCATTCATTCACAGCCTCTTCCTCTTCCTTCCTCTCTCTCAGTCTGCCTGCCTGAGGTTAGAAGCAGGGGACAAATCACCATTTGCCTCGCACCAGATCCCGATACACAAGATCGCTCGATCTCTCTTTCAAGGGCGTCTCCCCACAGCCTACTCTGACTCGAACCTCTTGCAAGCTCGAACTATCAACTCGATAGATGACCCTCTCAATACGACAGCAACCTCCTGCTTGGATTGTTGGCTACTAGCTATACAGCTCTCTTGTTCTTTGCGACGATCTGCCTCGTCCCGTTTCATTCAACATGGCGCTCATATCTGCCAAGACAATTCTCACCTCGCTGTCCCTGTTCCACATAACGCTGGGCTTCTTCTTCCTGACAAATCCGGCCACCATCGCAGACCAGTCTCTGGTCTATGTAATGGGAGAGGCCATGGGCATGGTGCGTATTCCATAAGGTCGACTGGTAATGAGAAATCGACCACATGAGGCTGACATCTGTGGAACCCGTCTAGCCATACGCACGAAGTTTCGACAACCAGTCCCCCGCTCTTGCGTTCCTCGCCGTCGTACTGGCCACTTTTGGTATCACCGACCTCGTCACCCTGAGCCTGCCCGAGGATATCTGCCTTATACACTACTGGGGAACACAAGGTTCGTGTCATACTCTCTCTCTCGTCTGGCTCTATAAGATGCAACCTAACATTGCCTTCAAGCGCCTCTCCGACTCATGCTCGCCTTTATCGCCATCTTCTATACCTTCACATTCTCTCCGTCGTCTCCTCTATACGCTCCGAAGTCGTCCTCGCGCAGCCATTTCTCCCGCCCGAACGCCCACATCCACAATCCTGGTTATGCTCCCGCCAGCTGGGGTGGCGATGGACTCAAGAACCGCATCTTCTTCACCTTCATGTTCATCGAGATGGTCAGCTGGTTCTGGGTGTGGGTGACCCTGCGGGAGGAGCGCAAGGAGATACTATCGCGCAAGTCGCATCGTAGGCGGAGCAGTCATAGCTCCAGCTACAGCAAGTATTAAGAAGGGGGTCCAGAGAGATACCAAAGTATCCAGTAGCTCCTTTTCACACGCTGAAAGTTAAAGGCTTGTCCAGACATGGTGGTCTCAGCATTGGGACTTGGTATTTTCTTGTGTGATTGGAAACAGCATCTATGTAGGTGTACGCATGGCAAGATCTGGAGTTGTAGGCAAGGCTTGGGGAAGGAGATACCCTGATATGACCTGGCATCGGTTTGAAATGAGACTTTGCACTTTTGTTTTTCACAAGATCCAGATGGATCATCGTCTTGCCCAAGCAGAAGTGTCATGGTTCTTTTTCTTGTGAGCGAGGCATAACCTTCGTTACCAGCCCCTACTCCAGCTTCACTGTGCTCCATCCCTTAACGCCCTCTCTCCAGCTCTCAACGGCTCGGCCAGCCCAATCCTCTAGCATGGATGTGTCGATGATGTCTGAAACGGCACTCCACAGTTCCTGGACCTCAACGTCGTCGCTTTCAGTTCCCAAAGTCCACTCCGTCATCTGGTCCAGCCAGCCACCCTGGCCAAGGGCCTCTTTGAGTGCCTTGATATGGTTTCTGACCTCTGCAAGCGACCTTGTTGCGATAGTATCCAGTACGCGAGCCTCCGCCACAACCTCCTTGTGCAAACCAGACTTGCCGCTCCTGTCTCTCGCGCTCTCCCTCTCGTTGAACGCTTGCATGAACGCTACGGTATGCTTTATAGCTAAGGCGGTGTCCCTAAGCGCAGACAAGGTATGATGGTTTGACAAGGCGTAAAAGGTCGAGAGTCTGCTTGTGGAGGGTAGTCCTTTCGAGACGCATGCCGCTTGCAGAGCTTCGATGGTAGATTTCAACGTTGAGCTACATAAAGCGAAGCTCGGAGGGACAGCGGCAGATCGCCCCGTGGTAAGCGCTGTCAGGAGCATGGCAGACAGTAGGGAGACTGATGAATAATATGTCTCCTCTGGGCCGGTCAGCTTGGCCATCAGGCCCTCGCCGTGTAGGAAGGCCGACATCGCCTGTTGGATGCGAGCCATGGACTCAATAGTTGCGGCTGTGTCTTTCAGAGCTGCGTCGTTTGCCTTGGAGGGTTTGTAGTCTTTCGGTGGTTTATGGTCAATCACGTCAAGGTATTGTTCTGTGAGTAGTGCCAAATGCGAGCGCTCATTCTATTGAAATGGTCAGCTTCATGTCAAAGTAACCGTAGTCATTGTCCGTACCGTAAGCTCTGGCCCAATCCTCACCAAGTCGGCCAGGGGCGGGACGAAGGAGCTTTCAAGGTTTGGTAGTGATCCATAGTCTGTTACGTTGACGAGCGTTGCGTGCTCGGTTACTTCAGCTGGAAAAGGTGTGAGTAAAGATCTCTTCCACCCAAGAACGTTACTCACATAGCATTGGCAGTTCATCTATACCACTGTCGAGTTTCCCTCCGATCGCTCTTGTGGCGCGCCGCTCCTCGACAGCCGTCATGACCAACGTGCAACTTCGTCGCAGGCGGTCCATGTACTCGACCATATCTAATATAGCACTGTAGCTCCCTGCGGCGAAGGCATCCCATATCTTGACGGGCGCTCTGTCTTTAAGCGAGGAGGAGTAATAAGAGCGTAGAGGCTCCATTAAAGGTCTCCGGTCGCCGTGAAACAGCCCAGGAGAGAGGCTGGACAGACGATCAAAGAATAGAGGGCTTAGTGCATCCTGGATCGTTCGCTTTACGTCCATGGGAATCCATAACTGGTAGGCATAAGATGCGCATCCCAGCAATAGATGCAGCTGAACGAGGAGCAGACGGAGTGGTACCTCATTAGGTGTCTTGGACAATTGGCTGTCGAGAAGCACGACAGCCTGAAGCAGGGGCGCTACATGGACTGATCGGAGGGGCCCATCCAGCCTAGAATGCGGTGCTTGTCGGACGCCGGCAAGCTTGAGGAGAGCAACGGCGGCAACAAGAGAAAGGTCAACTCGAGGATCCCTATCCAGCTCCGTGACAGACTCGGCAAACTCTTCGTCATCTTGAAGCCCTCTATACACCGTCGTACAGTCTTTGACGATGCTCCTGAGACATCTCCAACATGAACTAGCCGTCGTCTCGGCTGCACAACTCTTGCACTGCCTTACAGATAACCCAATCTGATCATTGGTTACGAGCAGAGGAGAGTCAACAAGCGCTTGAGGGCATGTAGTGAGATGATAGCGGAATTTTAGGGCAAGAACTTTAAGAGAGATAGCTTTGAGTTTGCTTTGCCTATCCGTGACCTAAGATTTGTCAACACCAATGATGCGGAAGAATGCACCGGTCATGTGTCCTCGCTTACCTTCTCAGAAATCTTCGGAATCATGACGTCCAGGAGGCTTTTGGTCTCATCGAAGCTCAATTGTCCAATGTAGTCTTTGATATCATCAAATACTGAGAGCTTATTGTAATGTTGATCAAGGAAGAAGCAGATTTGGAGCACACGAGGAGTAGGCAAGTCCTTGCCACTCAGGGGTAGGAGGTTTGTCGGAAGCCGAAAGGCGAACTCAACGGAAGCCAGGCTGATGTTTTTGACATACATTTGAGCAACTTTGGACTTGACGGACACAAGTTTCTGCAACATTTCTTGAACTTTTCTGAACGCGCTATCATTACGGTCAGATATGTCAGCTCCGCAGGGGTAAAAATGGCATACCTCTGCTCGTCTGGCTGTTTACTTGCTGCCTCGACGAAGATTTTCCAGACCCGCCAGTCAGCGGCAAGAAATGATGGTGATCCGTCAGCATCAGTTCTTGCTAATGCTTGAGAGCAGAAGTCATAGATGATGTTCCAATCGCCTCGCTTAGCAAAGGCAGTCAGGCCGCGAAGGAACAGGTACTTTCTCCCATCCTCTAATTGCCGTAGAGCACCGATGGAAGAGCTTCGCATGGACTTGAGGAAAGTCTCAGGTGGCGCCTGTGCTTCGATTATATGATAGAAGAGAATGATTTCCTCTTCCTCGCGGAGTGAGCGGTCGGATGTGTTTCCCTCCCCAGTCTTGAGCACCAATTTAGCAAGAAAGTCCCCTACTCAGATCTATCAGACTACTTACGGTCTCTGCAGCTTCGGCTGCCCTCTCCACCAGCTTAGTCGCCAGCATGCCGTATATCCTCGACTTCCCCTCAGGACATTGCGCGCTAATCTACAATCATTCAATGAGACGAGCAGATTCAAAGGGATTGAGCAGAGGTCACTCACAGAGAGCAGGTATGTGAGGGTGACGTTCCAGAACATGTAGCGACGATCATTAGTGTTTGGAGACGCCTTGTCCAAAGTAGCAGCTATCTATCGATCATCAGTAGGGGGGCAGAGTGAGGGCAATTAAGGCAAAGGGCTACCTGCTGGGCATTGATGAGGTCCCAGTTCTGAATGCACGCCTTGAGACATTCGATCCCAAGCACGCTTCGGGGATTTGCCTTGACCCAGCGCGAACGGAGAGCGCCAAGCGTCTCGGAGTAGGCGAGAGATGGCTGAGCATCCCTACACGCCCACTCGTAGAGATCCAACGTCTCAACATCGGGCACAGCCGTTGGGTTCCTGACTAAAGCATCGAGCGCGAGGACTGCAGCGCTGCGCTCGGACGGGCCTTCGAGTTGTGACTCGGCACATGCTCGGATAGCCTGAATGCGCCGTCAGCTTGCGCCGGCCGGTGGAAAGGAGGAAAGGCGCAAGGGGTTTTCAAGACAGACCTCATAGTAGGCATCTTTCAGCGACTGAGCGCGCTTAGCAGCCAGGCGAACGACAGTCGACCAGTTGCCGTCGCTGAAGGCCGTTTGTAGCTGGACGTCGACGCTGTTCTTCAGGGCGGGCCGGTAGTAGCGGCCATAAGAGGTCATGACTGCGGAGTTTTGAATGTTGGTGAGATTCTTGATGCCTCACGCTCCAAAGCCCCAGGCCATTCATGCGACACAGGAGTACAATACCGGCTGAGCCTGGCAGTTGGATCAATACACTCTGGTTGTCCAAATCATAGCACGTATATCGCTGCAGATATTGCCCTCGATCAAGCAAGGGACTAAGGTACTGCATGTATCACTTTTTTCAGCCTTGTGAACGTAATGCAGCATGGGTAAGGTGACCTGTATGTAGGCTGACCTGGTAAGGTATGTTTGTGAGGTATGTACGTGTGGTCCGTGCGTCGTGACAGGGCTTTGATGTACCTAGCAGCTTGAAAGTTTCTCCAGCTCACTGTGAGACTAACGAACATGCAGCAGTACATTTACCTCTAACAATCCTCGGTAGAGAAAGACGGCATCAACTGAGAGCCGAATAGAACAGCACTTTATAAGCAAACACGGTCGAGAAGAGATTTTATTTTATTAGAGCCGCTCAGTTATAGAACGAAGGCAACTTAGATATGGACATGTGCCATAGGTATATCTGCATCGTACCAGGAGCCGCAGGTGCAAGCCACCTTCGGGTAAGGCATATAAGAACTGATGACTTCTTCAAGAGAGCGGCCGCACTATGTAAGCCGTGAGATCGTGCGGATCAAACGGAAGCCAGAGCCACTGTCAGTCCAATACCACCATGGATCAATCCAGAGATTTCGAGGCAAAGATGCATCTGCGTTATCACCTCCACGGCCAAGGTCTCGAGTGCTCCGGGCCACAGCAGGGAACTATTCCACCAACCAACCTTTCATATTCTCCGATATATCAGGCTGCCCTGAGGGAACAGTTCTGAGCCTACACCCGCATCTGTGCTCCCCTGTGTTTCCAATCCTTTTCGCCTACCGTGTCGTTCGAGTGTCGGCAGGCATCTTTAGGGCCGCCACCGCCTGGAAGCTAACTGCCCGGCGCAGTTGATTGGCGAACTGAGGTCAGGCCAATCGAGCCTTATAGTGCAAAAGAGCCTTCTTTCCTCTTTTCGTCCTTGCGCCGATTGACCTAGAATGAGCTGTTAGATTCTGGTGCTGCGAAGGACATCCTAATCACGCCGGCGGGACATACCCAGTTCTTCTTGCATTCCCTGTATGCCCTTGGCCAGTATCAGCTCTCCATCGCAAGCATGCAACAGTGTCCTAGTCGCAGAACAGGGGAGAGGCTCACTGGAAATAGTCCTGGCACATTGATCGATCACCGTCGTTTCTGTGCAGACACCGGATGCTCCTGGATGCGGCCTCCTGGCATGGATCGAGGTATTCGCTCTTGCTCTTACTATTGGGTCCAATTGATTAGTTCTCGGGACCCTGAGCTTGCAAGGCACCACGCCGCAGGGGAATGGAAAGCCTGGCAGATGCTTACCTCTCGAACTTGTCTCTGGTCTCGCGCGACCATGGATCCTTGCCGCTGCCTTTGCTGCTGCCGCTCCCTTCCTCAGAAGACATGGTGGTCGCAGAAATGCATTGGAGAAGGCGCTACAGGCCTGTTTGATTTCCAAGGCTCCGGTGATGGTCTCTGCCGCACCTGATATCGTATCTGCTTCGGTGCGATTGTATGAAGTTGCGAACGGCACGAGGTTTAGGTGACGCAACAAAAGCCCACGTCACTTCCGCTCCGCTTAGGTAATGCCTATCAGGTAATATTACCACTACCACCACAGGCCTAGAACCACCTTCATGCGCTAAAATACATCCTCCAGGTACTTCCCAAGGCTGCTCCCTGCTCCCCTTTTCACATAGAATCCAGATGACCATGCGGCTTCGAAGACCAGGCCCGAGAGGTCTGAAGAGCTCAATTTTGACGGCAGGATCTGTTATCAGCTAATACAGAAATGAATACAATTGTCGTTCGTAACGCCGAACAGCATCTAGTTTCTCGTCTACCTATATCACGCGCATCCATGTCCACTGTCTTACACGGGATGTGATGCCGTGTCAGGTCAAAACATAAGTCACACATATTCCTATCATCATATCTTTGCTTGCACGTCGTGCTTCGTCAGCCATGACCTTTGCTGTCGCCGATTCTTCTTGATTTGATTCCGTCTGTTGCGTCTTCCAACTGACCCTTTCAGGCATTTTTGAATGGTGGGCTTGGTTGAGCCATATGTCTCGCCTTGCCCCTGGCTATCATGTCTTCTTCTCTCTTGCTTCATGGCCTCGCCATGATCAACCTGGACTGTTTTTCTTGTTTGGATTGTCGTGGCTGTCTGCATCTCATGTGTCTTCTCAATATGGATGGTTGGTCCTCTTTCACTAGTCGTTCCATTGCTGTGGAAGCGCCGATGCTGCGCTTCTTCAGCCAGGGCCCATCTCCTTCCGGATACAGCAGTCGTGGAATCGCTGATGTTGTCGACTAGATAGTCCACATTGCCATTGCTTTTCGAGGTTGCCAACGGCTTCTCTTTTCCTTGGTTTTCTCGAGAAGGAAAACGTATTATCGGCTCGGTGATAAGCGGCTCGAAGTAGTTGTCTTCCTGTGCGATGACTTGGGTCTCACAAGCTGGCCGCCGTGCATCTCCTTTAATGTCTTTTGGTAGTACAAAGTCGAAAGATCCCTTATAACCGTCGTTCGCATAAAAATCGTCCCAGAATATGGCCAGGCTTCGGCCATGCGTCGCGATGTAGTCTTCCCTCCTCCTACCATGAATTTCGGTCAACTCAGGATACTTTCGCTTGATGAGAGGAGCCGAATGTGCTGTTTGGTTCACTCTATTCCCCTCCAATGACGCACGGGTTTCCGGTAGAAGCGCACTGGAGGGCAGTAGGTGACTCGAATCACCTAGCTTATCCTCGTCGCGAATCTGATCGCATGAGGAAGCTTGTGAGGAAAGGGCAGCAGCAGCTCCTGCACCTATTGCATGTCTCCCGGGACTATATATCTCTGTATCTAGAGTCCGGTTTCGTTTTCCATCTCCGGGAGGACTCTGAAAAGCTTGGTTCTCCTGCTGTACTTTCCTCGCAGCCCTCAACGCCGCCTGTCTAGCTCTCTCTGCCGCCCTCTTCTTGGCCTTGTCGGACACGCTCAGCGCTCCGGTGTCTCTAAGTTCCGTCTCGGGGGTTACCTGAACGGCCACTGGCGCTGCTGGTATGGGTTCGTTCTCGTACCATTCGTCAGACTCGTTTGTCTCTAGTCGAGCAGCCTGCTGCGAGCTACAGGATAGTAGAAAATCGTATGACGAATCATTCACCTTGTCTTTGGCGCCTAAATAGTAAGTATCCCGAGCAGAAATTTCCCACCCATCTATCACGTACCGTTCCAAACAGACGTTTTCTTCGCTGAAGTCACTAAATTGCTCGCCGTCTCTACTGATACTGTATCGATATCCATCGATCTGAGTTCGGGATCAAGTTGATGTTTATCGGCTTGAACGGGTCGGCCATCAAAGCCCAAAGACGCCAGGCTGGGTCGTGGAGTTGATCTCAGCTTGAGGGAAGTCCTATTTGGCTCTCGGGTGAGCACGAAACCGGCAGCCCGTCGAGCAGCAGCGACATGATGAGTTGGAGACGATGACATGGCTGTTGGTGATATAAGAAACCCCGATCCGTTTTCAGCCCACCGCTCGTCACCGGTAGTCGTTCGATGAATGCTTGCCGTTTTTGGCAAGTACATGGTATCGTTGTTGCCTGAGCCATCTGAATCCGATGACAAGCTGTCCAAGTCGTAAGCATCGAGCTTCTGTGAAAGGCGCGGTCTCTGGAATATGTTCAGCCGAGGCATGGCCGATTTTTCACCATCATTCTGAGCATTTGTTGGAGACGTCTCCGAGGCGTTGTCTCGTTCACCGAAGAGTGGCTCGTACGAATATTGTGGACGCATTTCTCTCGAGTGATGACAATTTCGTGACTATCATTTAGTCGAAGGCGGCACCTGTTGTGGTGTGGCAGGTGTGGTCACGAAATAAGAATGGTATTGGACGGATAACACTCAAAGGAGACGACTGCAGTGGATTGCAAGAAAACCATCGAGATGCTAGTTTGATGGAAATATGCAGGCATAATCTATTTCGGGTGCCTAATTTGTAGATGCCTGCGAAAGTAGTTCAACGTAGCGGCCTTCCTACTTATGTCAAGGGGTCAACATGATTACAAGGTAAAGCGATAGGTTGTGTTTATCCCAAACCCGGCAAGCAGTGCAACTTTCAAATAGGCAACACCGAGTATGATATTTGTAAACGGCCGTTGAACCACATAGATCATGAGGATTCCATCGTAGGTGGTCAAAATCATATCACAAATTGTATAAGAGCAGAAATTAAGATCAAATCGTATTGCCTTATCGTCTTGACGACAATTTCATCATCATTAGCTAGCTGATGTTTGAGATGCTATGAATGTCATGACCAGTCCATTGCGTGTCAGATCGGAACTAGAAATACTGCAAAGCTTGCAGGAATAATGGTCAAGAGCTCCCTTCACATCGCACCGAGGCAGGTGAGATCTCCATCACGAGTAGTGATACCCTCATCTAGGAGGCACATCAGCAACATGGATTCCGCATCTGGACGAGCAAAACTGACCAAGATTCAGAGTACTGGTGATGGGAGCAAACGCCCCGGTCATCTTGCATGTGCAAGTCAAGTTGGCGGGCTCAGTGAGATAGCAGTCGGCGCAGTAGTTGGTGTACTTGCCGCTGTTTGGAATACAGCATTAGCATATACCCCCTGGAATTCTTGTAACTGACGTCCCCGTCCCTGTCAGCATGAAGGACAATATCACTCACGTGTAGGACCAGGCAAGTTGGCCAAGTGACTGATCAAGACCGATGCACAGGTTCAGGTCGATGGAGGTCTCATGCGACTGCATCGCGCCGCCGGCAGCTGGGCATGAGGCACCAAGCAAGTCGCTGACTCCAAGCGATCCCGCTGCCAACGTGATGTTTGAGCAGGCATTTGTGAAAGAGCCGAGTCCTCCCACAGCCATAGCCACGATGGCCGCGAGCAACCACATCATCTGATATGGAGCCATGCTGAGCGAATCAATATTAGCTAAGGGAACCAAAGAGTTGTCGCGGGCGGCGCACCTCAGGGTATTCTCACTTTGATGCTGAGATAAAACTTAAGGTCACTTATGGTGACTAAAAGCTGAGAGAATGTGGGCTAGGGCTTCGTAAACCTGAGAGTTGAAAGTTTTGTGACTTTGATGCCTGGGGAGAGAACAGTAGGGAATGAGGGATCGTCAGGGGCAGGAAGTGAAAGAAATCTGGAGATTGGGGCGCGGCAGCGAACTTGAAACAAAATGCGGGCTTCCGTCTCGCCGAATTACTAGAATGAGTCGTACTCGAAAGGAAGTGGGAGTGGTTTTGTAAGATAACAAACCAGAGGTACGTGTCAACACAGTCAAAACTTCCTCCTAGATTTCTTCCTCGATGTTTTCCCTTGCCTATATACGCCATTTTCTACGCCAGTTATCCCCCTCACAATCAGCCTTACTCGCTCCTGCCCGCGTTACCGGTTAATTTTCCCGGGTCGTGAATCGAGAAATACTATGGAATTTTGACACTGTGGCCAATGAACAGGCTGTCAAGAACAATACCTGGTCGCGATGTCTCTCCAGAGTTGTACAAGACGGCAGAGGCGCCATATTGCCTCAATCTCCGTGCACAACCTCAAGAACCTTTCTAGCCCCTCCCATAGCCGGTCAGGCGACGGGAATCCTACAGATTCTCCTGTGTCTCCTCCACCTTTCAGAACGCAGCCCGTAGGATTATTGCGCAAAGGCCAGAATGCATCACGGCTCACTGTTGTGCCATGATAGATGCATCTTTGATGTGAGGTGGTGTAGCCCGACGTCATGACACCTTACAAACGCCTCAGAGACGATGACATCGATTATCCGGCATTATATGCGTTTCTTGGCCGAATGGTCTATCTGTATAAGTCCCCAGCGCGTTGTGGATGGAACTGTGCTGGACACCTCCGTACCGGGATTGCCCATGCACCCATAACGGCGTCCCGACCCATCCGGCGCCCTGTAAGCTTTCGCTCCGGGGACCCGCCTCCCGTTCTGACTGCCGGAGCTGTCAAAATCTGGGGATTAACGCCACATCGGACCAAAGTATATGATGGATCTTGCTCCTCCCTACCATGACTGCATGCGAACGGTGTTTTACAACCAGCTCTATCACCATAGCTAAAATAGCTATGAAATACCGATTCCTTATAAGAAAGCAGCTCCAAGAGAATCAGCACTTTGTTCAACTTAGGTATCAGTCAAGCCATGCATCATTCCCGACCTAATCTATAATTGCCGGGGCTCTCTTGGAAGTACTCGGCCATAGGTTATTAGAAACATGATATCAATGCAATCTGGACCTGCAGATACACTCCTATTGGGTTGGACAATTGAGGGATCACGCGCAACAGGTTTGGAGTTGCGGGATCCAGGGAATCCAAATGGTTCGGCACGGCCGGATTTGACAATGCGAGGTCATGTCAGCCCTTCCCCGCATTTTCAGTCTGATCTGATCCAGGCAACGTCTTCCTTTACTCTACCTCCCTCTCCCCGCTTCATCCGTTCTCTACTTCTTTCTCTTCGTTATTCAAGACACTGTCAGTTGTAAGTTTTTTTTTAACTTCTTTTGCACGTCGGTGCTGCTGCTTGTGTTGGCATAGTCAAGCCAATGGCATACATTGTGTGCAAGGGCTGATCGCGTGTCAAGACTTGCACCTCACTTTAAGGACTTACACGCGATTCCGGCAGCCCACAGGCAATCAAAGTCAAGCTTGGGTTGAGACGGCGCCTCTTCCATTGTCTCTATGGGATCTCGTCTATCATCTCTATAAGTCTCTAACTTTTTTAGAAGATTCTCCTCGGGGGCCTGTTCTGTCTCATCTCGGTTCTGTATATCTCGCCGTGCAGTCTTCTATCTCATTATGGCAATTCATAAAAGGAGCCGATGCTTCCAATGAAGAACAGACCGCATCAGCTTAGCAACTGATTGAAAGGCCCTGTCGGGCTCGGATCTATGTATCAAAATCCCGTGCAAATTTCTAACCGAATCCATCAACCAGCAGCCGGCGAGGGTATGGACCCAGCTACTGGAGAGCATGATTCTTCCCGCTCGACTATGATGGCGGTGCCATCTTAGTGGGCTTGGTGCCCAAGCCGTTGCGGTTGCGGAAGAACAAGACGCCCTTTCCATTGCCGACAGCCTGCTCGCTGGGCTCAACCCACTGGCACATGCGTGCGCTCTTGTAGAGAGCCTTGATGAAGCCAACAGCGCCATCGGTCACATCGGAGCGGTAGTGCTTGCCCATGACCGGCTTGATCGCCTCGCTTGCCTCGTCGGCATGGTAGAAGGGGATCGTGCTGATGTAGTGGTGCAGGACATGGGTCTCGATGATGCCGTGGAAGAGAGAGCGACCGATGAAGCCAAACTCACGATCGATGGTAGCGGCGGCACCACGTACGAAGTTCCACTCCTCTGGAGTGTAGTGAGGCAGGGTTGGGTCGGTGTGCTGAAGATAAGTGATCGCCACTAGAGAAGCTCTGTTAGTCGATGTTTGCAGGAAGCAAAAACGGGTCCGAATCAGAAAACTTACCAAGCCAGTGGTTCACCCAGAGATAGGGCAGGAAGTACCACACCGCCATGTTCGCCCAGCCAAATGTCTGGCCGAGGTAGACGAGACCGGAGATGGTGATGGCCAAACCGAGATCGCTCATCAGCACGAGCTTGGCATCCTTGTTCTCATACAGGGGGCTGGAGGGGTTGAAGTGGTTGACGCCGTTGCCCCAGCCGTTCTTCTTGCCCTTGCCGCGACCTTCGCGCTGCTTCTCGTGGCAGTCATGGCCAGTGACGTTGGTCATCAAGTAGTTGGGCCATCCCACAAGCTGCTGGAGGACGAGCATCATGAAGGTGTGGATCGGCGTCTCCTCGGTCAGCTCCGCGAGCTCGTGGGCAAGCTTGCCGATCCTGGTGGCGTGTTGCTCCCTGGTGCGGGGCACAAACACCATGTCACGCTCCATGTGTCCGGTAGCCTTGTGGTGCTTGCTATGGGACATCTGCCAGCTGAAGTAGGGCACGAGGAGAGAGGAGTGAACAATCCAACCAACGAGGTTGTTGAAATGCTTTGAGGGCGAGAAGGCTCCGTGGCCACACTCGTGGGCGAGCACCCACAGGCCGGTGCCGAAGAGACCCTGGATGAAGGTGTAGACGCCCCAGAGAACAGCACGGACGGGCGTCGAGGGAATGATCTCGGGGGTGACGAAGTTGTGGAACAGGTAGAAGGTGGCAGCCAGGCAAGCAGCGTCACGGAAGACGTACGAGAGGCCACGCAGGCCTGAGCGCTCAAAGCAGTGCTTGGGGATGGCATCGCGGATGTCCTTGATGGTGTAGTCGGGCACCTCGAACTCGTTTCCGTAGGTGTCGATCAGCTTGCCGTATTGCACCTTCTGGCCGGTGGCATCGATGGAGGACATGGAGGAGAGGGAGGTGGAGGAAGCCGAGTGCCGGGGCGAGTCGACGGGCGATGCGGCGGCGGTGGAGGGAGACGACATGTCAGACTCGGCGGTGGTCGAGGTCATGGTGCGTCGCAGCACGGGGTTCTTCCTGGCAGCCGGGAGGCTGTTGGATGTCGCGGTCGTGGCCATCTTGAGGGTCAATTGGCTTTACAGTGCAACCAAATATGGAAGAGGATGTTGGTGCGTCAAGCAAGCCGGCGGAACGGAAGAGAGAGAAGAGTTGGCTGGAGGGGGGAAAGAGCCAGAGAAGCAGTTCCCGAACTGCTCTTAGGCGAGAGATATGAGATTGTCAAGACGTGCCGAAGCTCTCGAGGCAGGAAGCAGCCGCGCACGACGAGACTTGGTAACAAGGACAAACAATCCGAGACGAGGCAAGGCAAGGCGAGGAGAGAAAAACAATCTTGTAGAAGAATGGACCGGCGGGGGAAGTAGGGGGAGGTATATCGGCAAGATTTGGGTGACGGGTACCAGCGAGCCAGGGTGGCGGCAAAGCAGCACAACGCAACGAATTTAGCTTGCGACTGACTGGCTGGTCTGCTGGTGCCCGGACAGAACGAGACACTGGACCGGCTGGAATTTCGTGGACAGGGCAGCAGGGCACAGTGGCACAGGGATACCGGTAGTACTGGAGGGACCCAGGGCAGGGCTGGTGGAACCACGAATGCTCTACATTCAGTCGTTTAATTCAATTCAATTCAACCCAATTCAACCCATTCACCGGTGGCAGAGAGAGCCCCGTCTCAGATGTCGGGAAAAGGCCATATGTTACTTGGTACTTGGTACTTGGTGCGGTGCAGCGCAAAGGCAATGCGCGTGGGTCGACTCTGGTCGATTTGTTGGGGCCCCCGCACAAAAAAAAACAGTGAAGGTCCGCTTCGACCACCGGCTGTTAGTCCGGTTACCTCCCTGGCTAAGCTAAGGTACCTCTCACTAACGTTACCCAGGTACGGTACGGTAGGGTACGGTACGGCACCTACCACAAATCTACTTGGATCGACACGCATACGGTCAGGAATCAGTCTGGTTCTTTGAGACGATGGGTGAAATGTGAAATTCACATCGGCAGAAACATCAATCGCATAGCTAGCTAGCGCAAACATCAAATCAGGGAAGGAAATCTGCAAACAAACAAACGAAAATGGCAGACTATCTAGGCCTCTTCATTGAGCAAGAAACAAACGGTAACACTAGGTATCTCAGGAAGTAAGGTACGGTATCTAACCCAGATCTACCTACCGACCTACGGTACTCCTGCATGTACCGTACCCGACCGCCGACCCCATCGACCATACCGCACATCCTATAATGTTAACCTACCGTTGACCTGATAACATTCCATCCCGACAGGAGAATCATTCTGGGATTCGAGATACAGTAGCCCGAGGGGAGGTGGTCACGGCTGAATCTGAATCAGAATAGATGCTTCCATCACTACGATGCCAGCCGCACGACTGTCTCAGCAGCAAAAGGCAAGCCCGAGGCGGGAAGACCATCTTGCGAGCTTGCTTCTTTTTGTGTCCCCCAAAGAGGGAGAAGCAAAAGTCGATGCTCAGCTCCCCTGCTCCCCTCCTCGCTATGTACCTCTGCTTGAATGTATAAGTTCCCGCTCGCTCTCGTATGCAGGGCAGATGCGGCGACGAACTGCTGCGCCGTACCAATAGCACCATGTCCCCTCTTCATCGTGTCTCTTTCTCTCCGTGACAGCACACAGTCGTCTCGGTCTACCGGGGGCCTGACCGCCCTCATGTCGATATTACCAAGGTAGGTAAATTACACGAATGTCAGGCTTTTTGAACCTCGTAGATGAGCAGATGAGTACGCAGAATCGCTCCGCACATGGCAGAACGCCCCTGCACGCCCCAGCCCCGGGCAACGATTGCGAGCCTTCGATTCGAGCTGGCGGTCTTCCCGCCCGCATGTAAATCAAGTGCCATCTGCCAGGCTGCCACAGTGCCACAGTGCCACCTCATTCATGTGTGTCTCTTCCCGTCGAACTAGGCCGGCCCGCCTGCACTTCTCACCGCCTCCGCCACGACGACACCGTACTCACTACGTAGCGAGACAGTCCATGGATGGGACTGCTGTAATGAACTGCTCATACCCGTACGACTCGCCGTTGGTTTTGTTCGTAATGGGAACTTCTATGGACTAGCTGCGGAGGATCCCTGGCCTCTGCGTGCGGCCTCGTCCCAACCTATCACATGCAAATGGAATCGGCTGAAGCTGGCTGGCCATTCTCCAGACTTTTGAGGCCCCCTCCTTTCTTTTGGCGGGAAAGAAGATACGCGCAGCACTGTAGATGTCTCGCCGCTCCACCATCGATTGGCTTGCTTGGCAGACCATGGCGCTCCCTCTATGACGAGTGATGACAGTCCATGATGGTCGACTCATGGCGACCTAGAGTAGTAGTACCTCCATTGCCGAGCTGACGGCGGAACATTTGCTGAGCTGATGGCTTCCCTTCACCGAGGTCAGCTCTGTGGCACCCAGATATGGCATTATCCCGCCCTCATCCGCCAATTGCGCCTCTCTGCTCTCGTCAGGAAGTGACGATCCCAAGATGGCGAGCTCTTGGCTGAACGACGGTCCGTGGAGCCAGCGAAGCAGGAGAATGGGACCTGGAACATGAACGAAAAGACGAAGAAAAATTACATGTAAATCCCCTGCTCTTATCGTTATCGAGGGAAGCTAGGGCATGCGCTAATGCGGCAAGACATCGTCAGGGGTGGAGCTTCCTGTACAGAGAACAGCACGAACTGTGGGACTTTCTGTGCAGCTCTGGGTATCGAGTACCTTAGCGGCCGGCAGGGGCTCGAAGGGCTTTGTGGGGGATTAAGGTTGGGGCCTCGTCGGGAATCACATGTTTGCTGTCTTTCCCGATGTGAATGGCTAGTTTCCCCCACTGAATACTGAATTGACCTGAATCGACTTGAATCCTTCAGATCACAGCTGCTATCTAGTACCTATCTATCTACCGTAGACTGCTATCTAATGATTGCCTGCTGGTGTCGAGAGCGCAAAGCAAGTTGTTTCAGAAGCTGAATTCGATGTTGGTCTTCTTCTAGTCTAGTCTAGGTCCCTCACACATTCATCGTGCCACTTACCCTTCATTTCGCACGCGCGAGGATGAGGAGGAAGAGGGTACCTAGAATCCAATGACTTTTGAGCCGTGGTCGAAATCCCCCCACTGCGTTGCGCAGACAGTAAATGTTAAGGTACCTGGCTCCTCTCTCGGGTCAAAGTCAAGGGGCGCCGCTGCGCTGCAGGGGCCCTCCAAAATTTGTTGGGCCGCCAGATTTTGTTGAGGCTCCAAGCCTTCCAAGATCCTCGGGCCCCAAAAGTTCCAATGCACACACTCTCCCTTTTTTTTCTTCTTCTTTTTCACGTGCTTCCCACGCCTTGATACTTGACAATGGAATAATCACAGAGCACCCGTCTCCACTGACTACGGTACTCTGTGCGGGTGGCCAATCCAGAATGAGCGTGCTGTATACGGCAGGCAGCTAGACGAGTTGATGCTCTCTAGCACAGGATAGTCTTCACTCCTGTAGATCACTCCAGACTAGCCACGGAGCTCAAATCCAAGTTTCGGGCTTGCAATTGCACTCGGATAGACCAAACCGTCATGAGTGTACCGGATAATACATGTAAATTTCTCCCAGAGACAAGGCCAAAGAACTTTTTGTATACTCGTTCACTCCTTTACGAAGCTGATGGCTCTACTCTTGCTGAAGTCGTCACATCACATACCCTTTAGGCCCAAGAATCAGCCTACCTGAAGCATTTAGAGCTGCTTAACTTGTCGTCATTGGTTTAAGATGCTTTATAGCAGCTGTTCTTGCGGATCGCACAGGTTGACGGTCAACTTCATACAAGGAGAGTGCCCCTGCCACAATAGTATTTCGGCAAAACATCGGTCACACAGACTCACACTTGATTTGCCCTACTTATCAGAGCTTGAGGTTGTCATTGCTCGCCACACACTGTGACACCATAGACCAGAATCAGTAGCCTATCAAGTCCTTCACAGGAATTAATGATAGTTGAAGGTCGATGCTGGTAATATGAAACTACCGGCTTGTTAGCTACTTAATTCAAAGTTTTGATAAGCCTCTTCGAAATCACCTGTCATAATACTCTGCATTCAGCTCAATGACGATTACCAGTAAGATCGTTATATTCTTATGTGATAGCCTAACATCGCTCTCGCCTGTTGGCGTAGCATCATGAATGTCAGTGCAAAGTTGAACTCATTGTTCGCCCATCTCCGAAGACTTGGAAACACAAGAGTAGCAGCCATCTGCAATATTGTTTAGCTTCGTCTACCTCTACAACTGCATATGCTCTGAACCTGAGTAACTACATTATGTAGCTCACACGATCATGATATGAAATCCATTGCAATGCGCAGGTCAAGTGCGAGGCTAAATCCCTAACCCTGATTTCAACGCGAGATAGAGTGCTCAAAGTGAAGAAGCAAGTTGCCAGATATGGAGAAGTCTTGTACTAAACACGGCAACTTATTTTAATTTCATTACTCATATTATATCAAACAAAACATCCAGAGCAATCGAGCTCCCATCAGATTTTCTAGTCTTTCAGGATGTAGTAGCTCAGCTAAGTCACAGGGCTCGACATAGGATATCCGAAGTATTTGATTCCTTGGTATATTCACTTTAGAATTCAGAAATCGAAGCTTTAAGATGAATTTTATGAACATTCGAGAGTTTACCGCCACTGGCGGTGATGAGTCCAAGCCTCGTGAGCTCCTTGATTCAATCAAATCATTCCACCAAATGTGTCTTAATAACCCGGTGGGTAAGCCAAACCCCTTTCACACGATAAATGGTACATAGAGAACGGCTTTGCTCCGTTCTAGCATATTCACATTTGGGAGGGCACGCAACATTCTAGTTGGTGCACGATTTCATTAATCGAAGTACATGACATGATGAGTTCAAACACCCAATTGATAGGGGCCAGGGGTCCCGTCACAAGATGCATGATGCGGAATGCAAGTCAGGTCTGCTCAAGATTTGCTGATCATGCCTATGCGAGTTGCTATCTCTGAATTTCTCATATGGGTTTGAGGCATCACCTACAGTTGAGGCCCGCCAACACAAAAACGCCGTCTTGCTCATCTAGTCTTGCACTTTTATAACACGCCCTCAAGTGATCTAGTTGACAATCTCCTCTGTTTCCTCGAGAACCTCCTCAACGATCTCCTCAATGACTTGTCCCTCCTCGTCATCAGCCGCCGCACCGACCTTGGCTTTGAGATCTTCCGCGGGGTCGGCAGGAAGACCAAGATCGAGCCGCTCTTCCGTGATCTCGGCGTCGACGCTCTCGCGCCAAGCGTACCACTCGTCAAGCATTCTGCGCCGTCTCTCAATGACTTCTTGATTGGCGCCCGTGATACGTTGAGCATCTTCCTCCTCGAAGACACGTGAATACTCTCTCAAGTTCTTGCGGATCGACTTCTGCTCTTCCTTTGTCAGTAGAGTGGGAGGGCGCGGGCGCCATTGCCACTGCTTGAACTTCTCGATGGGCTCCTCGCGCAGCTGCTCGCCCTTGAAGTCATACAGGTGATAGCCGTTTTCCATCTGTAATAGTCAGTATCTCGGGCTGGATAGGAAAAGAAGGGTCGGATTCGTCACATACAGAATGCTTCCATGAAGATGCCCATGTTGCAACAAATCGACCTGAGGGATCCCATTCGATATCGGTGACGCCGTAGTGCTCGGCGGTGTTCATCAGCTGCAAATTGGCAGTTAGGTCCTTGTCGGACTCAGGCTTCTCGCCCTCGAAGTCGAGATCGAAGAAATCGAGATCTGAGCTTTGAGTGTTGTGCACTGTGGCAATCACGACGAACCGGCCTCTAGGTGACCAGTAGATGGCGTTGCTGTTCTTCTTGTCCAGAGTACGCAGGTGCTTGAAGTTGCCGACAAGGTTGCCCTTTGCCTTCTCGGGGCAGAAAAATGAGACTGAGGTCTTCGGCGGCACAGCAGTGGCACCGACCGGCTCGGTGGTAGTAATGATGACGAAGCGATCTCCCTTAGGCTCCCAGGCGAAATTGATCACTGTGTCCTTGATGGTATCGACCACCTCCACTGGGACGCCCTTCTCCTTGACACGGAAGATCTCGAGCGTAGTGGCCTGCGACTTCTTGGACTTGGAATGCCTGTCGACCTTGACACACAAGTATGCGGCCTCGGATTGCCAGTGAAGCTTCGCATCTGACACGCTGAAGAGGTTCAGGGTTCGGACAACCTCTTTGGAGGGAATGCTCATCAAGCCGACCTTGGCTGGGTTGCTCCCGATCTCCGGCGTCCAGTAGCAGAAGAGCTGTTCGTAGTTCTTGACACCTTCGCGTTGTGGAGATGACGGTGCCCACTCGAAGTCCATCACTCCCTCGATCTTGATGCTCGTCTTGTCCAGGAGACCCATGCGAGGGAGTTCGTAGACGGATATCGAGGAACCCTGTGTCAAACGAGCGACATACTTGTCATCCGCAGACCACTTGAACGCCGGCCAGGGAAACTTGCGCTGCTTGGCTACAGCCGGGTCTTCGTTGGGCGCACCGGGAAGGTCAAGATTCGCGAAGGATCGCAGAGGTTTCGCAGTAGCAATATCCCAGATGACGTAGTTCTTGCCATCATCGTCAAGAGACAGCTGCGGGTGGCCCTCATCGGGTATGGAGATGGGGCGTGCTGACCAGGTCACTAGGTAGTTCTCAAGCGGCGAGAAGGCCACCAAGTTGACAAAGGGATGGGCAAATCGTCTGATCCTCAGCCATGAAGCACCTCCCCAGAGCTGAACACCTTGAGCATGGACAGATGTGAGGTATGTTCCCAACGGCGACCACTGGACAAAGCTCTCTGTCCAGTGCTGCCGGTCCACGACAGGCTCCGGCTGATCCTTCTCACTGTTCCAGAAAATGCCAACAGACTCGCCTCTGTACATGACGAACTGATCCCGACCCCGACCTGATGGGTCCGCCATGAACGACCTCAGATGCTCCTTCTCGGCGAATTCCTCGACTTGTGGCGGTGTGTAGTGATCGTCTATCCGCCCTTCCCGTCCGTATCTCTCAACGTCGGTCAGTTTGTTGACGCGGAGTGTGTGTTTCTTATCGAGGGGAACCATGTCGAGTTGCCGAACAGCAGCGGCGGCCTCACCGGGTGATGAGTACTCGACGAAGGCAAATCTAGAATCGTAATGGTCAGACAATAACTCTGCGCAGTAGCCCACCGGGCCTGTTGAATGCACATCCGTACCTTAGCGACTTGCCATTCTCGCCCATTGGCATGAAGATGGAGTCCTCTCTCGTCTTGCCGACCTGGTTCAACTTCTTCAGGAGGAACTTGACGAGCTTCGGCTTTTGGTCTTCGGTAACCTCGGGAAGGCCATCGACGACGACGAACGTGTCGTAACCTTGGTCCAGCTGGACCTCGTACTTCTCCCTCAGATCTGAAAGATCAATCTCATCCTCATCAAACTCGTCATCGTCGAGATCGGCCTCACGAAGGTGATCGAAAGAGGGCGCCATGCTGGGCAGGTGTGTGCAGAGAGATGGGGGACGAGCTGCGGTGGCCGACTTCGAAGTTTTCGTCGTTTGTGTGGGGTGCGCGTGGAAGTGGTTGCTGCCCCGCGATTTGGTTGACCGAGACTGGGTTGCTGCGCTGAACAGAACAAGCCTGGCGGCGTACCGTCCTGTGCGAAAACTTCAAGCTCGAGTGAGAGATAATGTGACGATATTGTAGAGTGTATGCGAGTTCTAGGTTGCAGCTGCAGTTGAGGCCGTGAGAGATGCCTTGTTGCGTGTGATGGCTCGAAGTCGGCTCGGCGTCCCTTTTTTTGCGATCGACTGCTAGCCTAGTGCCACTCTTGCTGCTGATTTTACTTTTCTGATGTGTGTGGACGGGACGCTGAATTTTCCTCTCCGGTAGCTTAGCGTCCCTGGTCTACTGTGTTTGGTGTGCTACGGCTGCAGCCTTGGTCCACCTGGCCTGAAGGCACATACGCTTACCTAACCGATCAGTTCTGCCCCTCCAAAGAACCCCACCCCACTCCCCACTGACCGCCTCAGGTACAGGATCTAGGAGGCGAAGCTTGCTGGCGGATGCACGGGCAAACCGTTTTTCCAGGCTGCATTGCAGGCGAAAAAAAGTAAAGGTCCACTACAGGCAACCCGCGAGCTGTGAAGCTATCTGTGTAGTTGGTGTTTTCCGGGAGCTCTGCAAATAGTCGTCAACTCTTCCTGGACCATTTTCCAAGCTTTGTGACATTTGACAGAGAGCTTCTCGAGGCTGTCCCACCTCGTTCACACACAAAATCATGGTATGCAGTTCTGTCGATGTTTCACCTCTCTACCGCCGCTGACAATAGCGACAAAATAGTCGTCCTTCAGCCCAACCCAGATCTTCGAGGAAGGCACCACCGAAGAGAAGGGCGAGAATGCTCGGTTGACAGCCTTCGTCGGCGCCATCGCCGTTGGTGATCTGGTCAAGAGCACTTTGGGACCGAAAGGCATGGACAAGATCCTGCAGTCTGCGTATGATATTACCGTGCCCCACCATTGCATTGCTTTATATGGAATATGGTCTGAAGGCTGACACTTGCTCTGCTGCGCAGGTCCACGGGTGAAATCATGGTCACAAATGACGGTGCTACTATCCTCAAGTCCATCGCTCTCGACAACGCCGCCGCGAAAGTACTAGTCAATATCTCCAAGGTGCAGGACGACGAGGTCGGGGATGGAACCACCTCGGTGGCAGTCCTGGCAGCGGAGCTTCTCCGCGAGGCCGAGAAACTGGTTGACAAGAAGATCCACCCCCAGACCATCATCGAAGGCTACCGGATAGCAAGCAGTGCCGCGCTGCGCGCCCTCGAGCAGTCAGCCGTAGACCACAGCAAGAGCCCCGATGCGTTTAAGAAGGACCTCATAGCGATCGCAAGGACAACCCTTAGCTCCAAAGTTCTTGCCCAGGATCGTGACCATTTTGCAAAGCTTGCTTGTGAGGCCGTCTTACGGCTGAAGGGCTCTTCTGATCTCAGCCACATACAGATCATCAAGAAGGCGGGCGGCAAGTTGAGCGACTCATACCTAGATGAAGGTTTCATCCTGGACAAGAAGATTGGCGTCAACCAGCCGAAGCGTCTAGAAAAGGCCAAGATTCTCGTGGCGAACACATCTATGGACACAGATAAGGTCAAGATATTTGGCGCCCGAGTCAAGGTCAGCTCCACAAGCAAGCTGGCAGACCTAGAGAAGGCAGAAAAGGAGAAGATGAAGGCGAAAGTCGAGAAGATCAAGGCGCACGGTATCAACTGCTTTATAAATCGGCAGCTCATCTACAATTGGCCGGAGCAGCTCTTCACCGACGCTGGCATCATGTCGATCGAGCATGCCGACTTTGACGGCATAGAGCGTCTGGCTCTGGTTACGGGAGGAGAAATAGCGTCGACTTTTGACCACCCGGAGCAGGTGAAGCTGGGACAATGTGACCTCATCGAGGAGGTTATTATCGGCGAAGACACTCTCATCAAGTTTTCTGGCGTGGCCGCCGGCCAAGCTTGCACAATTGTGCTCCGTGGAGCCACAGAGCAGTTGCTGGATGAGTCGGAGCGCAGTCTGCATGATGCTCTTGCTGTCTTGTCACAGACTGTCAAGGAGCCTCGCACGACACTTGGTGGAGGATGTGCGGAAATGCTTATGGCGAAGGCGGTTGAGGGAGCTGCCACACGTGTGGAGGGCAAGAAGCAGACTGCCGTTGCATCCTTTGCTGTGGCGCTTCGACAACTTCCTACGATTCTCGCGGACAATGCAGGTCTAGACTCGGGCGAACTTGTCGCTCGGCTGCGCAAGGCCATCTACGACGGCATGACAACCTACGGGCTGGACCTGATGACGCCGGGTGGAGGTGTTGCGGACATGCGGGATCTGGGCGTGATTGAGAGCTACAAGTTGAAGAAGGCGGTGGTGTCATCGGCAAGTGAAGCCGCTGAGGTAAGTTCCATGTCCTGTCCACCCTGTTTCGGCAATGCGGTGACTAATTGAGATGGCAGCTTCTTTTGAGAGTAGACGATATCATTAGAGCCGCGCCCAGACGGCGCGAGAGGCACTGAGGCGAGAAGGGCGTAGAGTAGAGCTGCAGCTGATAATCGTTGTATTATACCACTTTAGACCTTGGTGAAAATATATCGTCACGATGATTGATGACCCATGAAATCTACCTGCCTTGGCCATTTCCTTCAGCTCTGTCCACTTCTAAAGTCGTGATGAACGGTGCCCAAGTCACGGGATTATGTAAATAGTAAGAACTGAGATGCTCAATTGCTATGTACAGAAGTGGGTATTTGATGTACCGGCACTCCTTTGAAGGTCCATCACTCCAGCTGGGACATGTTCCGTTGCAGTGGTAGTAGGGGCTGTGATGGTGGGTGGGCGAGAAGTAGGTAATCTCCGGCGTTGCAGATTTCCCAGTCGCTTTAGCGGCTTTCATTGGCCATCTTAAACGCTGGTCTGCATCCCATCATCAAACCTTGAGGAACCTCTACCATTACCCTCACACCCCTCCAGTGCCCTCTTCGAAAGAGGCGAGATTACAATGAAGAATCCTTGATTCTCAATCCTTTCCTCTTCCAGAGGCACCGCCACTGCGATGCTATCCACATGGACCCCTTGAGGACGTGAATCATGATATCCGACTGCGCGAATTCTTTATGATTGATATGTAGAGAGGGAGTCCAGATAAGCATGGTAAAATAATCAGCATTTTGACAAGATGTTGGTGTGATGTTAGTGAGTGAAGTGAAATGACACTGGCCTAAGACTCATACACCCATATTGTATGTTTCTTTAAGAGTACTTGCTCCGACACGCCGTCGCTAGTAGTAAGCTTACAGTTCGTAGAACACCGGCACTCTACGTTGCCTGATGCATCCCTTCATGTTTACATGAAGGAGCAAAATCTCTAGCAGCGAGTGCTCGTGGATCATACTACAATGATACCAGAGGGGTACATGGATCGAACTCGACCGTTGATGCCGAGACGAGTGTAGGGCGACCCTTGAAATGTTCCACGATGGGTACCTATCGAGGTGACCTAAAATAAGCCGATTCGACAACGCTTATAGTAGATCTACTATGATAGCAAACCATCTCAGCCCCGGATGGAAATGGGGCTAGCAATTGAGAGCCCTCGAGGCTTCTTATTCGAAACTTCATTTCGAAGGTCCTGCCTTCTGACCTTGTTTTGGGGATGGGTGGCCGTTCGGAAGAAATGCCTAACTAGATCAAGAATCAAGAAATCAAGGAATTCCGACTCTTACATAGTAGTAGGCTGACAACCCCCAAAACAACCTTGAAAGCGGCCGCACACCATCTCGAAAGTGTCGTACTGTACATACCGCCTCGACCGCTTCGTGCCTACATCCTGGCCATGTCCAACTCAGCGCGCAGGAGGGCTTGCAGGGCCTAATGCAGTGGTGTTCTGTAGTTTCTTGATATGGGGTCGACCAGGGCGGATCTGAGTGGTGGTTTCGACTGATGCCATCGGTCATCACGCATCGAAAGACATGCCTGAGGGCTGACACCGACGGAGAGCCAGCTCCAAATCGGCAGGCCTGCCTAACAGCTGAATGTATCTCGGCCATGGCCTTTGAGTCCTAAAAACAAATGAGACGTTGGACATGTGAGCATCGCGGTTCTCTATCAGACGTGCGCGCGTATGAGCAGGCACTGTTAGTGAATACTACCAAGGCAGGTATGTGTGTGTGTGCATGATAGCTCAAATTGAAGCACCCCACCGCCACCACCCCACTCTCGAGTACAGCCGATGTTTACAACGCTGGGTGACAATTATCCATACAAGTGTTGGCTAGCGAAAAGCCTGTTTGTTGGCAGCTGGTCGCCGTCATCTTCTGCTGTAGGTATAGGTATCAAATAGACCTCTGAAGAGGCGTTTCTTCGAGTCCCAACACTCCAAAGGCCTTGCCCAGTAATGAATGAGAGCATACTTGCTGTATAAGCATGACGCGGTGCGCGCTGTTTATACATGCCGGACTTTTAGAGACCAATGCCCATCCAGTATGTATGTATGTAGGTATGTCGACATGGTGGTTGACAGGTATTGGAGGTATTTAGTGGTGAGTGTGGCTGATACATTCCATCGTGGAGCACTCATCTCGCATATCGTCAGAGGCCCCCCGGATGGATGGGCTGCCGCCATCGGTTGCTTGACATTTATTTACAGTACCTGGAGAGGACCTGACCGAGCTAATGGAACTTACCTGGAAAAAGGCCTTCCACCTTGACGAGTTGGCAGACTTGACTCTGGTGAATTAGTGAACCACTCTGTATTAGTAGGTAATGTATACCCTACCTAGAGTAGACCTGCGAAACGACAGGTATCATAATAGTAGAGGGCCCACCAGCCTTAATTAGCCACGCTGCTTCAGTCTGCGCTAACAAACCAGGTACGGGGAGTTTGTTAGGCTCTTTTGGGTGGTTTATCTGTGGGAAAAGTGCCGTTGATGAAATGGAGGGAACTCTTATCTCGATCGCCGCGAACTTTGCTGCATGACGAGTTAGCTAGTGACAACGGTTACGGTCCATGCTTTTCTTTGTTTTTGGGGAATTTTTTTTTGGTAGGTACACTTACTATTATTTCTGCTTGCTGACCGCGCATCCGAGGGCCACATCCCGTCTAATGAACTGCTACCAATCCCTCCTCCCTCCTCCCTCCCTCCATC